CATGAATGCATATAGCTTTGTTATTGTTGCCCGGACATTGTCTGGAAGGATACCCCTTATTACAACTGGTAGCAGTTGTGTCATCAACACGTGACAGTCATGAGACTTTAGGTTTGTGAACTTCTTCTCCTTCGTCCTTATTATTCGCTTGATATTCGTGGAGTATCCAGACGGTACCTTTATGCTCTCCAAGCATTCAAACATACTTTCCTTCTCTGCCTTGCTAAGAGTGTAGCTGGCTGGACTCAAGTAATGGCTTCCTTTCTCCTTTGGTTCCGGGTGAAGGTCGCCGCGTTGTTCCATATGCTTCAGATCATTACGTGCGTCCAGTGTATCTTTCGACTTTCCGTATACACCTAGGAAGCCAAGAAGGTTTACGCAAAGGTTCTTAGTGAGGTGCATCACGTCGATTGCGTGGCGTACATCCAAGAATTCCCAATAGGGTAACTCCCAAAATATAGAGTTCTTTTTCCACATCGCCGCGTGACCATCTTCGCTCTCTATAGGCTGGCTTCCAAGCCCCTTTCCGAACACTACTTTTAGATCTTTAACCATAGCAAACACTGTTTTCCCGTTGCGATGTTTAGGCTTCGTACGGTGGTCAGCCTTATGTTCGAAGTGCTTGCCTTTCTTCCGTACCGGGTGGTTTGCTGCAAGGAATCGACGATGACCCATGTATACAACCTTCCTACAGTGCTTAAGATACGTACTTTCTGTTTCATCCATACAGTGAGTGCAAGCCTTGTACCCCTTGTTGGACTGTCCGAATAGGTTGCTAAGTGCAGGCCAATCGTTGATGGTTACGAACAGCAGCGCTCGTATGTTAAACTCCTCCTGTTTGTCCTCGTCCCACACGGGGACACCTTTCTTCTTCCACAACAGCTTAAGATCTTCGACCAGTGGTCTTAGGTACACATCGATGTCATTACCAGGTTGCTTGGGGCCTTGAATAATAATCGGCATCATTATGTACTTCCTCTTCATGCATAGCCAGGGGGGAGGTTGTAGATACACATCATAACGGGCCAAGTGCTATGGCCGCTGCTCATCTCTCCAAAAGGATTCATGCCATCCGTACTCAAACCAAACCGTATGTTTCGTGTGTCCTTTCCAAATTCTTTAAATTTTCTGTCTATGTTTCGCCACTGCGAACCATCGGCGGGGTGTCTCAGCATCCCGTCCTGTTGACGCTCTTCAGCGTGCCATCGCATCATTCTAGCATTCCCCTTGTTCCTGAACAAACGCCTTATCCGTGGTATTATAGGGAAATAGCACATCACCTTAGCAGGAATTCTCTTCTTTGTTAGCTGCCCGTCAACTTCTCCTGGATCGTCTCGTCTAATCTTGTATCGTAGTGCTTTGCAAACAGGGCATGCTTCTAGGTTCTCATACTCCTCACCGCGATATAGGATACAATCATTCGGACATGCGTGAATCTTCTGAACTTCTAGTCCTAGCGGGCAGACTATCTTCTTAGCCTCGTACGTTGTCTCGGGCAATTTGTTTCCCTCCGGAAGAATGTTCTTGACGAGTTTCAATAAATCACCAAATGCCTTGTCACTAACCCCATTTTTTGCTTTCCATTGCAAGAACTCCATAGTGGTATCCAACTTTTTGTGCCCCTGCTCGCAACCTGGGTACAACGAAGTTCTGTGGTCCTCTAACATCTTGTCCAATTTATGGGCTCCCTTTTCACTTTCGCAGTCCTCCTTGGCGTCCTGCAACATCTGACCAAGATCATCCGCAACATCGTTACCATCAGCATCCCTTTCCTCCTCGCCCGTTTGATTTCCTTCAAATCCAACGTACTGAGCAAAGTCCGGAATATTGTCGTCTTCCACTTCATCTTCTTTCATTTCAACACCTTGCTCCCCGTGGGATGTCTAACAATTATAGCTTGGCATGAACCCCGACTCAAACAAGTGGAAATGAATAGTCTTAGATACAGAATACTCCTTCTGATTCTTACACTTATTGCATGGACAACAAATAAAACCCCTTTGCCTGTTAGCTTCGGCCACTCTCAAAAAATAGTGCACGGCGTCAATAAACTCTTTGGACCACTGGTCAGCGTACATCCATTGCTGATCCATCTACATGAGTCAAAATGATAGTCATACAATAATTATAAGATAATTACAAACTGTTTCAACAGTCATACAATAATGACATATCTTTATTCATACAAAAATCATAAAATATTACACCAAATAATTCTTATTTACTATTTCTAAAGTTTTAAACTAATTTTAATGTGTTTTACTTCTTTTAATTTTCATTTTAGTTTGTTTTCTAGTATTCAAGATTAACTTTCACTATAGTTTTCCTTCTCAACTATTTTATAAAACCTTCTTTAGCAAATCAACTAAATTTCTATATATTCTTTCTTCCCCACACAAATTTTCTCCCTCATCAACTTACAACTAAATTTTAGAGACAAAAAAGTGTGCAAAACATAGCTACAAATGTAATATGACAAAAAAAACATTGGAGGATGAAGTTGTAAACCTTTTAGGCACCTCCGATTTGTATGTAATCACCAAAATAAATTCACTAGAAATTTTGGCATAACCTCCCCTCTTTTTTGAAGAAATTTTGAAGCTTGCTCGGGCAGCTGGAGGAGGAAGAAGACATATATATAGGGGTGGGACTTTAGTCCCGGTTGGTAAGATCCCCGAGATCTTTAGTCCCGGTTGGTATTACAAACCGGGACTAAAGTTTACCAACCGGGACTAAAGATTCCGGGGGGCCTGACAGGCCCTGACAGCATTTGAACCGGGACTAAAGATCAAATATGCCCGTTACCCTTTTTAACCGGGACTAAAGATCATCTTTAGCCCCGGTTTTTATTGCATCCGAGACTATTGTGGAATTATGCCGACCGACGAAAGATGGTTTCTCCACCAGTGTAGGGGAGGGCAGGGTGCTCGCCCTTGCGGTGATATGGTCTCGTGGAGATAATGGCGGGCCCATATCCATGATGGTAACGTGCGAAGAGCTACTTGGTTGCCATGCTTGCATGCGGAGGTTAGTGGATAGGCACCAGTCTACACACTCGTGGCGGGCTTGATGTTGGTGGGCAACGGGGGTGGCTAGGCGGCAGGTGAAAGCTTCGCGGGGTAGCTTGCTATGTAGCCAACGATGACATTTTTGAGTGTGTGATCCCTCTCGAGGGTGTTGCCTAGACGCCTCGCTGTTCCCCTAGTGGTGAACACCTGGTGAAAACCGTGTCCATTTTCCCTGTACAGGTGATGGCGGCACATTGGCATCACGTCGTCCATGGAGATGTTGCCAAAGAGACTTTGTTTCTGCCTTCAACACCTTAAGATGCCTCTGGATGGCGGCTTTTCTATATGAGGGACGAGTGGATCTTCTACTCTCTCGCCCACTTTACGACCCTTCTCGTTGGTGGTCCATAATGGCGCTCGGCCTCGCATTGCGTTGGTCGGTGCGGTGCTACTTCGTGGGTGGGTGTTAGCGTTTTCAGTGTGTGGTGGGTTTTTTTTTACCGTTTTCTTTTCTTGTTTGTAGCCTCTCAAGTCTGTAATTTTGTAATTTTTCCTGTTATATTAATATGAAACATCACACTGTTTGATGTTATTCCTCTAAAAAAAAGGCATTGATAATGCTGAAGGAATGCATGCTAGGTCTACCCATAACTATCTTATATTGTACATTAGTACGGGGGCCGTAATGCGCGAATAATCACATGACTAAGCCATCGTGAATGCAATTTGATAAGCCCACGTGCCTTCGTAGCCGCCCTTACCTATGTTTTCTTTTTTTTTCCCTCTTCCCTTGTCAGCCAAATTGAGCGCATTGTTGGTTCCTCTCTTGTTGACTAAATTGAGTTCCTCTTTTTTCATTGACCTAATCGAGTGAATGTAAGCATGACAGCCTCCCTTCAACGAGTTCTATCTGCCCTCTCTCGAACGAGCTCCTTTCGCTCTCCACCCGACGAGCTCATTCTCACAACAAAAGCTATGCCTCCTCCTTGGCCCCTACCATCTCTCCCACCTCCGGTGGCCAGCGGCGCCACCCTCTACCCCACCCAACCTAACTGATTGGCAACCTTTTCCTCCACCATCCCCATCCTCTCATGTCTCTATGGCTTCAGCGTTAGCACGCTAAATCACCCACCCGTGTCGTCACACACCACCGGTCCGTCCCTTCCCCAGCCATCCCTCTAAGCCTAGAATCCTAATCCCATGCCTCTCCCAGCATTTCCCTCCCTCCCAACACAACCCTAGACGCTAATCCGTATGCTCGGTGTCACATCACGACATGATTGGAATCCGTTCGCGTGAATTATAGGTGCGTGTCCGTTTGCGAATTAGGTTTTTTGCATTAGTATTTTATATTGCTTCTCTATTTGGTTACAATAACTTTGTAGATGGTCTTAAAAAATGGAAATGCTAGCACACAAACTTGTGTACATCCATGGCACACGAACGCATTAGTCAATATCACATTTTTTTATAACTATGCATATTTTGCCTTGAATGGAAAGTCTAATCATACGCGACTCTTCCGCAATGCCGGAGAAATAAGAGATCAAATAGGAACTTACAAAGATATAAGAGGTACTATATAAATCTCGAAAACATAGTAGGCATGATATGAAATTTAGGAAAACATAGACGATGGACCCTAATCCACGGAGGCACGTGTAAATATTCTCGAATTAATTAGGGTATCATATTATTCTCATATGAAAAATAAGATCATCTATATATATTTCATGACATGAGATCGTTTATATGCGCATGTAGAAAACATGTATAAACATTATTATTTATACACGTCTCACAGTAATTTGGATGAAAGAAAGTAAACACACATGCCGAGTTTAGTTCCAAATTTTTCTTCAAACTTACAACTTTTTCATCACATCAAAGCTTTCCTATACATACAAACTTCCAACTTTTCCATCACATCATTCAAATTTCAATCAAACTTACAATTTTGACGTGAACTAAACACACCCACAGTCTAGGCCATTTTAAAACTTTCCAAACAATTCAATCTGCCAAAACTGAAATTTTGACCTTGTTTTACAGATACTCCAGCTCATTCACTCTCCCACTTGCACCACGGAATCTCACCCATCCACGTGTCCCCAGATCTCATCCCCATCCTCAAACAACGCCGTCCCCATCCTGAAGCAACGCCCAGCCAACCGCCGCCGCCGCCGAGCACCACTCGTCGCCGGCCATGGAGACCTCCGCCGCCGCGGGTGGCGCACACTTGATCTACGTATCCTCCGACGACGAGGAGGACGAAACACGCGTCCTCCTTGCCGAATCCTACAGCGCCGAGGAGATCCAGATCCAGCAGGCCATCCTCCTCTCGCTCGACCCCTCCAGCGACGCGGACGCCGCCCATTCCTCCGCCTCCTCCTCCCGCCCCTCCGGCGCCGCCTCCACCTCCGACGAACCCTCCTCCCTTCCCGACCGCAAGGGCAAGCGCAAGCTATCATCGGAAGGTACCCGCCATTTGCAATTCTCCTTGATGCGCGCCGATTTGTGGTTGCTCCTTGCCTAATTTGTTCCGATCTGTCGCAATGCAGAAGATGGCCCTATCGAATCCACGAGGAAGAAGCGGCGGAAGCGCGGCCGATTCAAGTGCAGCGTCTGCATGGAGAAGCTACAGGTCTCGGAGCAGTTCACCGTGAGCTTCTGTGCCCACGCGTTCTGCAACAGCTGCATTGGCCGCTACGTCGCCGCCAAGATCTCCGAGAACGTAGCCGTGATCGGGTGCCCTGACCCCGGGTGCGAGGAGGGTTTCGTCGAGATGGACACTTGCAGGGATATCATCCCGCCGGAGTTGTTTGATCGGTGGAGCGTCTCGCTGTGCGAGTTGGCACTGGGTGAGAAGAAGTACTACTGTCCGTTCAAGGATTGCTCGGCGTTGCTGATCAATGACAACGACGGCGCGGAGAAGAAGATCAGGGAGACGGAGTGCCCCCACTGCCACCGGATGTTTTGTGCAAGGTGTCGTGTGCCTTGGCATGATGGGATCAAATGTAAGGAGTTCAGGAAGCTAGGCGATGATGAGAAGGGGGAGGAGGATCTGATGTTCAAGAAGCTGGCTGGGAAGAAGAAATGGCAGAGGTGCCCAAATTGTAAGATGTTTGTCTCGAGGATTGATGGTTGTTTACAGATAAAATGCAGGTAATCTGTTTATGTAACTCCATATTTTGGTTTGTGTCCCTCCTAAAATTAAGAGAATGGATGACACCAGGACAAAAAGGCTGAATAGAGTTACAAATTGGTGTCCTCTGTTCATGTACACTGAAGAGATGAGGCAATCTTTTCGCTATTATAGTGGTTAGAAAAAGAATAATGGCTCAAGCATAATGATTGCAGAATATATTAGAATCTTTGCTATACTTTACACATGTCAAATCAAATTTTGTGAATAACTTCCATTTCTCCATCTTTAGATAGTTTTGTTGGTGACGTTGATGTTAGCTAATTGGCAGTACATGTTTAAAGAGTTCACGTAAGTCATAGTGCACCATCATTACATATTTGGAAGAGTACATAGTACCTTTGGAGTGTTATAATGGAAATAGCAAGTCTGTAGCTTTGCTTAGGTTTAGTAGTGTTTTGGTGAATGCTATCTACTGGGTCAGGATTTTACTGGTATGGTTAGTAGCAGTTTTGGTTACTGACCTTATGCTCAAGATTTTTCTTAATAATTGCTGTTCTCATAGGTCAATGCCGGGATATACTCCCAGCCATTGTAGGTTTTAACCATGCAGACACTTCAAAACTGCTGTCAATTCAACAGCAAAATAGGGAAATGATTGAGCGCATGTTTGGTTTGTTGGCTGAATCAACCTTACAAATTTTGACAATGCCAAATTTTGGTGTTACCAAAATTTGGTAAGGTTAAAATGGTAGAATTGTTTGGTTTGTGACCTTATCAAATTTTGGCTTAGTTTTCTGAATGGAAGATTCCAGAATCACCAAATTTTGGTAGAGTTAGGCAATGTAAGGTTGTGATGGTAAGAGTTTGTTAGGTTCGTTACCCTACCAAAATTTGTTACCTTACCTAAATTTGATAAAGTTTATTTCAGTAACAAACTAACGGCCCTAAATTTCCCCCTTGTATGGGCATGAAACTGTTGACTACAGCCAGCAGTTTTTGTTTTTGTTGTGCATAAATTTTGTTTTTTTCATAGTTCCAACTAGAAGCTTGTGGTTTTGGTTTGGTTATCAGTAGATTTCTGCTGCACAGTTTGCTGCACCATTCTTTTCACTATGAATCTGGAAATTTGGTCTACCTGCCATTTCTGGTTTCTTAGATATGTCACAAAACTTAAGGGAAAAATATTTTACCTTATTTGTCTCGTAAACACTGAATTCTAAAGATGTACTGTATAATGTTATTTATGCATTTTCAGTCTTCGTCATTTCACTAACACGTTTTCATGTTTGTCTTGAAGGTGTAAACAGTATTTCTGTTACTACTGTGCTGCCCCAATGAAGAAAGATAGTCACTACTGTATGAGTTGCCATCGTTAGTGAAGGGTCTTATCTAAACACTGTAAGAGTTGCCATCGTTAGTGAAGGGTCTTATCTAAACACAGACTTTGTACATAGGTATAGGTAACATGTAATAAATATAAGTATGGTATCATCTCCTTGAAGTGGAAATACATTTTGTACAATGTTAATGATCTTAATGACCTGAAGAGCAGGTCACTGATCCAAGTCTCAGTGTCATCTTTTTATTAATCAATTTTGCGTGAACTTTGGATGGAATATCCACACTATGTAGCTAATAGCAATTCTGTAATGGTTGCATGGTTGAGGTTCTCACTTGTCTTTTTGAGCAGATAAGCGTTGCTGCATTGGGGATTCATGTTTACTGTTAATGTGCAACCTGAAATGATACAAACAATACTTTGTATGGCTTGATTGGCAATTTAAAGAGCCGCTCCTTTTTTGGACTAAAGGGAAATAAAAGGAAAGGAAGATCCTATTTTGGCTGGAAATTTTGCTTGCTTTACACTGTCACATATTATTGACTTATTGTTGCTTTCTCTTAAATTTAACTGGCTAAATTTCCTTCAATTGCCTAGGGCTAAAATGGAATTATCAATGTGTACGAACTGATAAACAACTCTGTCTCTATTTCTTAAAATTCCTACACAGTTGCAATATGTTCTCGCGATGTAGGTTTTTCTCTTTTTTTTTTCCTGATTAACATTGTAATAATTTAAGCTCTGAGAGCCAACTTAAAATGCATTATTTCACGGACAACGGCACGAAGAACTTTGGAGCCTTTTGAAGGCATCTAATTCGTCCTTGATTGGATTGCTTCATGGACTAGAGCAGTTCTTGCATGGAAGGAATGATCCGTTTAAATTATATATCCCTTTCCTCAGAATGCAAGCTTCTGATAATTACCTCCGTACATTAACCATTTCCTTCTCTATAAATACCCAATTCACTTATAACTCTTCTCAATATCAGAGTCCCAATCTAACTATGATCACTCGATCATCTCATTACAACTACATCGATTAGCATCAGCAAGCTGCAATGGCTGCTTCTGCTGCTCTGAAGATGGCTGCCCTGTGCGTGCTGGTTCTGTGCAGCATTGGGTCATAGTCACAGGCGATGATAGCCCACGCGTCATCGACTGCTAAGCATGACGCAGCCGCCGGCGCGCTGCTGCGTGAGCTCGTGCGGAACGTCGTCGCCGAGGAGCTAGGCCTCTCCGGCGGCGGCGCCAGCGGCGCCGGCGGCCGTGGCAACGTCGGCGACGCCTGCCCGGCGGCGTGCCAGAACTGCCTGATCCTCTGCGCGATCAAGTGCGTCCTGAAGCCCACCCCGGTCGCCTGCTACGCCGACTGCATTAGCAAGGACGCCTGCTTCAATGCTGGTGAGGTGGCTGAGTCATGAGACATGAGTTTACATGAATTTTACCCAGTTTAAATTATTGTGTCAACTAGGGATGGCAATCGGACGCGACGAGCACGGGTAGTGCCTACCCACCCATTACTACATTACGGGTAAGGATGGTTGCCCATGCCCATTGCCCGCGGGCGCCTTATGCCCGCGGGCGTGCCCGTTTACCCGCCACAACAAAAGCAGTGGAACAAAAAGTCTACAAGCTACTAAGTTCGAATCGAACTTAAAACATCAAATATTCTCCGCCTCGGTGTCGTGTCTCTCCTCTGGCGGCGATAGAGTAAGAGGAGAGAAATAATAAGGGAAATAAAAGGAAACCGTAGAAAACAAAGAACGTGGCTTATGTATTCTAGTGGATTTTGCTCCTAGCCTACATGTAAGTTAGATTTCGCGGGTAAACGGGCAAAGCGGGCATGGGTAGTGATTACCCATACCCATGCCCATTTACCCATCGGGCATAGCTTTTGAACCAATAAGATACCCATGGGTATAAAATGGAGAACAAACCCAACCCTAATAGGGTTTTTACCCGCGGGTAAACGGGCAAACGGGCACAATTGCCATCCCTAGTGTCAACAAGTGTACTACTCCCTCCGTTTCACAATGTAAGTCATTCTATCATTTCTCACATTCATATTGATGTTAATAAATCTAGACATATATATATGCGGGAATGTCTAGATTCATTAACATAAATATGAATGTGGAAAATGCTAGAATGACTTACATTGTATGTCTAGATTTATTAACATCAATATGAATGTGGGAAATACTAAAATGACTTACATTGTGAAACGGAGGAAGTACTAGCTGTATGCATATTTCGTTGGTACAAACATTATGTGTCGTCTACTTGTCTGTTTGTTTGTCTAATGTATTGTGTCGCGTACTGAAAAATAAAACTCCAGGATATGCAAGTGATCTGTGCCTAATAATCCATTCGGTCAGGCAGGGATTATGGATGATTAGTTTCCCTAATGACCTGAAAGATTGGGCATAATCCACGAGCTTTTGCAACTGCAAAGAACCAAATTCATCTATATATATGTCGTCATCTCTACACAAATCAACATACATAGTGTACTATTTGTGAATATATATATACCATTGGGATCGATCTTGATCTCTCCGAAGTTGTGTATATTTTATTGAACTCGGCTATAATCACGCTCATTCCTAAGAAGGAATCGCCAACCCTACTCAAGGACTACAGGCCGATCAGCCTGGTGCATAGCTTCTCCAAGCTGGCTGCGAAAGTCATGGCGTAGCGTCTGTCGACGAAGCTGGATGTCCTCGTTCCCTGCTCCCAAACTACCTTCATCAAAGGGCGTTGCATTCATGAGAATTTTGTTTTTGTCAAGGGCCTTGTGCAGCAATTCCACCGGCAAAAGAAGGCAATGATGCTATTGAAGCTGGACATTTCCAAAGCATTTGATACTATCTCGTGGGGTTTTCTATTGTCCACGTTGGAGTTAAGGGGATTTGGCCCGAATTGGAGACGATGGTTCTCGGCTGTCCTCCTGACTGAAGAAACAAGCATTCTGATAAATGGGGTGCTCTCTGATCCAATTAAACCAGCAAGGGGACTGAGACAGGGTGACCCTTTGTCTCCATTGCTCTTTGTGTTAGTAATGGATGCCCTACAAGCCATGGTGAATCGAGCGAAGCAGGCAGGGCTGTTGTCGCCACTGAACGCAAGAAGGCAAATACCCCCCATCTCGGTGTACGCAGACGATGCAGTCCTGTTCTTTAGGCCAACGGCCGGTGAAGCAAGCACGATCAAAAGACTGCTGACGCTGTTCGGTGAGGCAACGGGACTCAAAACGAATTTCTGCAAGAGCACGATCACACCGATACAATGCAACGATCAGCAGCGGGCGATGGTTGAGGCCATCATTTCCTGTCATGTGGAAGATTTACCCATCACCTACCTGGGCCTCCCACTAGGAACAAGGAAACCAACAAAAGCTGAAGTACATCCCATCCTTGACAAATTAGCAAAGAAAGTTGCTGACTGGAAACCAAAGATGCTATCCATCGACGGCAGACTTTGTTTGATCAAATCAGTACTCATGGCCCTACCTGTTCACTACATGTCGGTCCTGCAATTCCCGAGATGGGCAATCAAATACATAGAGCGAAAATGCCGAGGATTACTTTGGAAGGGGCAGGAAGAGGTGAGTGGCGGACATTGTCTGGTCTCGTGGCGAAAGGTATGCTCTCTAGTGGAGAAAGGTGGTCTCGGTGTGAAGGACATGAATTTCTTTGGTCAGGCCCTAAGGTTGAAGTGGCATGCGAAATCACTGGAATAGAAGGATAGGCCCTGGATGATGGTGACTTTCAGGCCTGGGAATGATGTAGAGATCATCTTTCGCTCAGTGGCAGAGTACTCAGCAATGGGGAGAACACTGACTTATGGACAGCAAACTAGACCGGGAAGGGATGTTTTGCTTGGCGATGGCCGATCCTGCACTCTTATGCGGGGCGCACCAGGCTTTCGGTCGACAAAGCCCTGTGCAACAATCGATGCAGAATGGAGGTGACAGGACCCTCCAGGTGAAAACCGAGTCTAGCTGAATGGTAACGTTGACGTCTAAGACGCCATGGCCTTTGTCAAGGTGTTGTTTAGGAGGTCCTATTCCTTGTCTTCGTTGCCTTCTCTCTGTTTGGTCGTCGGCAGTTTTAGGTTGTTTTCATTAGGTTGGGGCGAGGGATGAGTGGATCTCCTTCTCTCTCGCCCTCTCCCTCTTCTCAACCCCTCCACGTGAGGATAACCGAAAGCTTTTTGATGCCCTTCTATGTTGAGTCGGTGTTTGGTGGGGCTTTTGCAACCCCTGGTTGCCCTAGTGGCGATCAATCACACTTAGCGGTGGTCGGCTTGGTGCTAGTTTCCTCTCCAGGGTGTGGTGCGAGGAACTGCCAGCTCTCGGTGGCGGTGTGTTTGTTTTCCCTGTTACGATCTCCTAGAGTTGTAATCTTGTAATTTTTTTTCTGCTATTTCAATATCAATACGAACTTCGCATTGTCTGTGCAGTAATCCCGAGGCAATTATGCAATGGATCGAATATATAGTGAGCTGGGTGAGATGGACCATCTGGTATGGCAATATGGCATCCCATTACCTTTGGAATAGAGTCAGAAAAATGTTTTTATTTTTTGAGAGACATCTTATCATTTTTAAATATTAGATAGAGTAATTCTCCTTCCGTTTTAAACTACTTGCCATTTTAAATTTGTCCTAAATCAAATATATAAACCGTTGACTATTAATTCCTATAAGCTCATATAGTTTAATGTCATGGGATTTATATTTTTAAATTCATCATGGAAAGTACTTTTATAATATATAATTCATAAGTTGTTAAACTATACAAAATTTTAAAAAGAGTGAATTGCATATTGGGTCACCATTTCTTACCAAACTTTCACTTTATACCACCCCTTATCCTATGTTTTCACTTTGGACTAGCTAATATTTCCTATTGTTGCACTTTGGACCTCCATCTCTTTCACCATGTCTTCAAACTCCGGTCTATCAAATTGCAGTGTGCTCGTGTATATGGGGTCGCTCAAGCTTCAGTAGCAGCGGGGCTTGGCAAGCTAGCTACCACTTGTCAGCTCAGTGCCTGAATAGAGGAAGCAAGGCAAGGTAAAAGGCTCTTGACTCTTGGTGGCAAATGGCGACAAGGGCAGTGGAAATCAAGGTGCCAATAAAATTCCTCTTTCGCTGCCTCCAATTGTTTTCTTGCTTGATTTCTCTACCATGTCCATTTCGAGTTCTCTCTGCAAATTAAATCCCCATCCTGTAATTCATCGAGCTCGAGCACATGAGCACATCATGGCTGCAGGGGCAGAAATCAAGCTTGTTGCACAAGCTTTACAGCTTTACCTCCACTCCACCTATCCTTTCCAGCATATACATCGAACTGATTTAAGCTTGGCCGTTCTAAGTGAAAATATGTACTAATACCTGGTCCATTGTGAAACTTAGATAAGAAAACCTAGCCTAAAATGCAATTCACTCTTTTAAAAACTAATAGTTAAAGATATAAATGTTTGACGTAAAACAAATCCAGAATTACAAATAATTTAAAACAGAGGGAGTACGAGTATATCATACCATAAATATGTAAGTTAAATTCGACTTCAACAAGCTGTAACAAAATAAAAAATAAAAAAATATATAGTGAAGGTATGTAAACTAGTTTCGGTTTTTTTTATATAATTTGTAGGTGTCGAATTTAAACTTGTATATTTGTGGAGGGATTTATCTCATATTAATATATTTTATCTTTTTTTAAAAAATAACTATTTAGGTGATAAGAAAAGAGGATAATTCCTCATGAGTTGAAAATCCATTTCCAAATAGTGTATAGCGCCGTGTGCTACTTCTTTTAATGAGTCCAGCCAAATTGGGTTTTTAGGCCGTGAGCTTAACGAGACAGCTTGTGAGCTACTTGTTTAACTCGTTAGTATAATAGATCACCATATTTTCATATACTTAGTGTTTTAAACTATTATTTAGTTTTTAGTTACAGCCAAACTATCTGTATTTAATGAGTTTTTTATTAGTTACATCCAAACTATTATTTAGTTTTTTAGAACTGATTAGGCTACCTGATGTTTAGTTTCTTCCTGTTTCCTCTGACTTGCAATAAATTTGAACTCCTGAGATGTAGAATACTTGAACTATGAAAATAAATACGCCCTTATCAGGGCATAATAATCCTCTCTCTTTCTTTTGGGTACAAAACTGGAAAGGTAGGATTGCGTGATAGCTGATTCTCCTAAAAAAATGTCCTGTTTGTTGGGGGTTTGTTACGGGTTTGGGAAGTAGCTAGGTACCCTAGAAGATATACCCTAAGGAGTAAGGATAATGTGCCCTTGGCATGTAGACATTGTTCCAATGATTGGCAACATCACTGACCCATTCCAAAAGCATTAAGAGATTAGTAATTTAGCATAAATAAGTCTTGCCATTGTCCTTGCTCTCTTGTGCTCTATATTGCTTCCATAATTCCAAAGTCATGAGAGCGACGATGCAACAACCCAAAGCCTTTACCAGCATGGTTTAAGATATTCAGTCTCTGTTTGCTGTCACATCTGAGATCTGACAAAAGCCGGATAATCAGACTTTTTTATGGTTCTGTGCGTGTATCACTTGATCAATTAGATAAAACCAACATTGCAACTTTACATGATCTGCAGCCGGTAAGGTGATCAAATCGTCTGAAACTTTTTTTTTTTGGCTACCTATGTATGTATCTTTCTCTGAACCCACACAGTTCAAGCAAAGCACATATCACCCAAACCTCAAATGAACAATCATATACACAATTTCACAAACCCAATCTCTGACACGCCAAGAAAAACGGAGGCCACTGCAGCAAACTCACTCACTCTATACAGTGAACAAACTGTGAAGCTCCTACTGGATCAGTCGCCATTGCCGCCGTCGATTGAGCGAATGCTAGGAGATGCTGAGCACGGTGGTGGCTCTAGCTCTCGACGGCTCCAAGCTGACGCACTCGACCAATCCACAGATCATGTTCACCTCCTGATCTTTCACCATGCTCTTGCTGTGATTGTCAGCGCCATCCATGGCGGCGGCGGCAGGAGCTTCAGTGCTGCTGCTGCAGCTGCAGCACTCGCCGAAGCGGTAGCAGGTGACGAGGTGGTCATTGGCCATGCCGACGGCCTGCATGAAGGCGTAGATCACCGTCGGCCCGACGCCGAGGAAGCCTCGCCGGAGCAGGTCCTGGCTCATGGCGTCGGCCTTCGGCGTCTTCATCGGCACCTCCCGCGGGTGCCGGAATCTGCCAACCATCGGCTTGCTGTTCAGGAAGCCCCAGCAGTAGTTGTCAAATGATCCAAACTCCTCTATGACCTATGAACAGCAACCAGAAAAGTTCAGAGTTCAGACATGTAATGCATGATTTTCAGAAAGAGGCAGCCATTAAGCATGCTGCATGAATGATTCAGACAGGCATTGCATTATTGCGAGAAAGAAGCAGATGTGTCATTAAGTGTAAGAGCAAATGATGGTTGCCAGGGCTGTTCAGGCTAATCATCAGGGTTAAGATGTGGACAGATCGATATCTAGATTGTCAGCTTACTTACCTTTAGGACCTCCTGTGCATTTTCAATGATTATACGCAGCCTATGCTCTGACAGGAGAGACCTTGCAGGGCTGCATGGCCCCAGAATTTTCCTCTCACTTAGCTTTGCTACCAATAGAGGATCAAAGTCCATGAAAACCTCCCTGTTGAATTAATTCATTAGTTTTAAGAAGTTTATAATTGTTAGATGTGATCAGTGAATGCAATTCTTCAGACAGTTCAGTGGGTAAAAGAAGGAGTAATACTTACTTGAATGTTTCCCTCTTGCTGAGAATTGCAGGCCATGTCATTTCAGCCAATGCACCAGACAGGACTAGCATCTCAAACAATTTCCTGCAGGTTCAGGGCTGAAAATTGTAACTTTATAATTTATCTGACTAGAATTCTAAGTAAAACTTGTATCTAATTTGATTGGGTTTAGACGTACTTGTCATCATGCACCGGGACTCCCCATTCATGGTCATGGAAGGCAGCATAGCATGGATCTGTTACAATGTCATGATCAGGGATTACCTCACGGTCAGATGAAAGCAATCGGTGAATCAAAGAAAACTTTGACAAAACTTGCAACGTTTTTAGGATCAAACACAATACTGATTTAAGATTTGATAGAGTGCTTCGGACTTCAGATTACAAGCAGAATGTTTTTGTCCATAAAGAGACAGAAGGGCCCCAACTAAACAGTTAATTAGGTGTAAGGTCAGCAGGCAGCAGGTAGGACTGACTGATGAGCAGAGCCAAGAACACAAGAAACTGAAGAGTGATGAGCCTCCTAGATCCTGCTTTGACGTTTCAAATAGTTGTTTTTTTATGGTTGACGTATACTAATACAGTATGTGGAACTGAATGATACTAGTTTTCAATAGTTGCTGTACTACAGTATGTGAAGCTAGAATAGCAGAACTCACTGCTACAACTAAGAAAAAGCAGCTAATAATTAATACCAATAAGAAAATGAGAATTAATACTAGAGCATCAGAGAGATTAAATATAGTGGTCATGGCTTCCAGATGCCTACTGCACTGCAAAAAAGATGCAAAGTGCAGTTGTACGTACTTGCATAAACTAAAGAACAACAATGATAGGCATATCTTCGCAGCCAGCAAAAGGAAAATAAAAGAGAAAGATAGCCTGGGTCACCATTGTGGTATACACAATGCAACATAATATGATAATCCATGTCAAGGTAATTAAGCCTGTGTAGTGGAATTGGTTAATTACTTTTGGAGTACTAAAGAATTTTACTAGCCAGTATATGATCCGAAATTAGATATATATGTATGGGTGATCTGGTTTAACCACTGCAAAGTTATTAGGGTACTATTGCCACTTGATTCTTCAATTCAGTTGAGAGATTATTGGCTACAATTAGAGGCTTTTGATGAACTCCATTTGCATAAACTTTGCATTGCCGACAAGTTAGTGGGTAATGGAATCCTTTTGCAAGATAAAATTGACAAGTACTTGCTAGATAACAGACCTGCCAACAAACATTTGAGTGCATCTTTTATTGTACTTCTATACCACCTACCATATGTGTGATGTCATATGATCTAATTAATAATCATCACCCCCCAGGGTTGATTTGCCATAAAATTTACAAGTTGTAATTTTCCTTTAACAAGATGGAGGCAAAAATTTTGTTTCAGTACTTGGATAATATCTGCTTTGCTGAAGGCACTGTGCTAGTGTGCTAGCTGAAGAGAGTGAAGACTGGTGTTTGGAAGCTTTTGTCAATGCAGCAACAGCATTATTTGAGACAGTTATGTTACAGAATAATCAGGCTTGTTTGGATGCGAGCCACTGTTCGATGGCGACTATGTTGTTCTCCTTTCTGATGTACAGTGCAATACGCATGAAGTACAGAAGCACAAATGAGTGTGTCCAATTTGGTTAATTTTAATGGTAATTTTTTTTAGCGTATATGCATCAATGAAAACTTTAGAATACCTACTGATATGGAGTACGTTATTTAGCAAGACAACATATTTATGTATGGTGTGCCAAAACTCATCTTCTATACATTATCAGTAAACTAGGATTCCTATATGTACTATATCTGATCCTGTAGTATAACTTAACCTGTATCTGAGTAAATAATGCCAACTTTTTTTTTTTGGAAATTTCAGTGTATCGTCGTATCAAGCAGAAGTTTCAAATTTTAGCAAGGTTAAACGGTCGCTTTTTGTAACACATTTTTTTTTTGTAAAAAAAATAACATAAAACCTCAACTCCAAAAGAAGTCCTAGATTTTTCATGTACAATTGTCCCTACAAGATTACAAGAAGTCTAATCTATATATAAACACATGTTTTTAATTATTTCTGTATTAATAGTTATTTTATATAACGATGATCTGTATTGGCAGTTATAAAGAAAAAGTATATGCAAATTAAGAACGAACTCGTTATCAACTTAAACCAATTCATAATTAATCACCAAGTAGCTAGAGCAGGTTTGAATTGTGTGAAACTGAAACTTACCAGTGTTAGGAGTGACCCAGGGGCACCTCGGCGGCCCCGTCAACGCCGGCGCGGCCTCGCCGTTCGCCACGGCGATCAGCGACGCCGCGACGTCCGGCGCAACGCTGGCCGCCGCCTTCCGGGCCACCGGGCGAGCGGCGGGCGGCCCCGCCGACCCGGCCGCCCTCCGCAGGGCGTGCGCGGCGCCGACGCCGGGCGGGCCCACCGGCCGGCGCCCGATCCTGCCGGTGGACGCCCGGCTGCAGAACGAGTCGTTTGACGCCTCCGACGCGCACGACACGTTCAGCGACCGCGGCCCGCCGCCGCCGCCGCCCGCCGCACGGCGCAGCAGCATGGACGGCACCCCCGGCTCCCTTGCGCCGGACGACGACGGCGGGTGCTGCTGCTGGTACAGCCTCCTCCTCATCATGGTAGTAGCGTCCTTGTCCCTGACGACGCTGCTTCCAGCAGCCGGCCTCGGGCCAGGAGACGGGGACGACCTCCGCGCGGCGCCGGCGCCGGCGGCCACCCTGGACGACGCCACCGGCGACGACATCACGGCACGGTACACGTGTAGCTAGCGAGCTAGCGAGGCGGACGAGCACTACTGTGTGAGCCTGTGAGGTGTGTGTGACGAGCTAGCTAGCTATAGGTAGAGTCGTTGGGGAGCGTGGCCGGCGCGGCGTCGTTATAAGAGAGGCTCTTTTGGGGGGCAAGGTATGCGTATTACGTAGGTACGCCGCGCGCGAACGCGGACGGTGGGTGGCAGGTGGCGCGCGCGCGCGCGCTATATGCTACGGCAACACGTACGATCGAGCAAGGTTGGGTTCGCGCGGCGCGAGCGCTCGCGTGGGCGCGCGGTTGGTGCCGCGTCGTGGGAGGGAGTAGTGACCTCGTCGTCGTCCGCTTTTTCCTCGTGAGATCGCGGGGGGCGCGCGCGCGGCGGGCGGCAGCGAGACCGATCGATCACGATCGGCCGATCCGGAGTCCGGAGCGGGGCGACCGGGCGGGAGGCTCGTGATGGAAGTCGTACGTGAGGGCGACGAGACAGCGAGCGAGACGGCGGGCGAGGTGGGCAGGTGGGGGCATGCAAGAGGTGGACTACTACTGGCGAGAGCGCGCGGGGTAAGGTGTGGGTGAGTACACACACACGTACGCAACATGCCACGTTGGTCGTGTCGATCTTGATCGTCCGCGGCACGGCGTCACGCGGTGCTAATGGAGTCGGAAGAAGGAAGGCGAGCGAGACCGAAAGAGGTGCACGTACGGTGTCACGTACGAGGTGCTGAAGGCTTTGACAGCCAAATTTAGCAACTAAATTTCACACTGCCCTGTCCTCACACAAAGACCAGTCTTAACCGCCGGTATCAGAGAGGTCGGACTAGAGCATTTAACTGCGGGTTTGGGTGGTCTGACCCTTATTCCATCCCATCTTGATTTTTTTTAGATTTTAGTAAAAAAAATTGCCTCCAACAGATCATTTATCTAGATCCTAATTTTTTTTTGGAAATCCCTCCCCCCCCCCTATCAATAGCTGTCGAAACATGATTTCGGCAATAATAAAAGGGGGTAGCGCACGAGACCTAAAAGTGGATGGATGCAGAGACAAAGGATTTAGACAGGTTCAGGCCCTCTCAATGAGAGGTAATACCCTACTCCTGTTTGGGGATTTGAATCCACCGGGTGTGTATTGATCTGACGATCAGGTTGTCTCATCTGCCCCCTAGAGGGCCTCCTGCCCACCTTATATAGGACGGGGAGCAGGATTACAAGATAGAAACCTTAACCAATACGGTATCGGTTTCCTAAATCTACTTTACAATATTATCAAACCAGGACTTTAGGCCGTTCCGTAATATACAAGGAAACATAACACCCAAGTCATGATCTGTTACATATTACATAGATATAAGTTATCCCCTATAACTAGTCGGATAACCATGCCGTGTGGGTATGGGGTACCCATAATCTCCACAGTAGCCCCTGAGACCTTCGCAGTCGAAAAGATAATCTTCTCTCGAACCAGATTACTCCAAAGCTGAGTGCTTCAATCATCTTTGTCATGGTCTCCCGAGTACTTTTACCAAATCTGAAGACTGTGGAGGGCTGGAAAATAAAGTCAGGTGCACCGACCAGATGCACCTAATAGGTGTAGCCCCCGACAATGTGGTTAATTGAACAAACCAAGCATATAGTCAAGGAATAAATAATCCAACCAACCGAGTGGTTTTGATAATCGTAATCAACCAAGTGACTTGATATCAATATATAGCATATGCGGTGTGAACCCTCCAAATAACATGATCCGAGTGATATACCAACTGCTTTGTAAAATATGATGCGTACAACCTAAAGTTGACAACATCTTTGAAAGTTCACATAGCAAAACAACTATAAAGAAGCTTGAATGCTGTGAATAAAGAAATTTCCAAAGTATTGGGCATACGCCATGCGCACACTGCTTCAACAGATGTGCTTAAGTCCCTAAAAGACACATGGTTTCACCACACCTGGAAATATATGGCATATGTGGTATAACATCCGAGTAAGTAAACTCATAAAGGATTTACCAACCGCCTGAAAAATGACCATAATATATAATCAGCCTAAGCCATAATATTGGTCAATAAAAATGCACACTTACGTGGCAAAAAGCAATGATATTGTATCCAATCAATTGCTTGATAAACCCAAACAGCACCTTGACTATATAAAAAAGTCAGCGGGACAGCTATATAAAGCTTTACTGTTTGACACCTTTTAAGATGCATTGTACCAACTCCTAAAAAGTTAAGTAACTGCGGTATAAAAGGATTTTAAGGTATTGGGCACTTGATCACGCGCACTTTGGCCTAAGCAAAAAGTGCCTAAGTCCCTAAAAGAACGTGACAGGCCACACCTGAAAATATGGGCTGCAGACATATTAGGCCTAGGCCAAAAAATATGCCTTCGACACCCTTTAAAGGATGACGCATGTAACATGCTCCTGAGTAATAAATCTTCCGGGTAATATAGACCAAGTGTAGCTCATATGAATAGCTTCTGATCTGAATGATTATCCCTTATGGGATACTCCAAAAATAAATATAATAATTGAATCCCGACTGGCGCAAGTATTCGGTTGATAGCCCTTACGGGGAATAATAATTGGTCCAGTCTTTGAGCATAGAAAATAGACTCATGACTATGAATCCATGTGGAATGTATCCGGAACAAGTCCAAATTGGAGATATAATCCTCACGCTTGAGTTGATGAGCCCCTGAGCATATAGCTTGTCCTTCTGTCATAGTCAAAATTGTCCATTGATGGTAGCTGACGCAGTCGGCATGGAGATGAAATGACCAACATGAAGACGAAATTGCTCATCAGAAGTAACGAAAGATGTCAGTGGTAGTAAAGATGCCACCAATCAAATGTAATGAAGTTGCATAACCATGGAGGCGAAGAAACCAGTCGGCAACAGTCAGGTCAGCTAGCAGTGAAGATGTAGGCGCCCAACAACAACGAAAGAACAGTCGGTGGTGACAAAAGCAAACCGACGATGAAGACGTAGACGCGCATCAACGGTGATGGCGAAATCCACCAATCATGAAGATGAAGAAAATAATCGGCGGCGACAAACGCATCCGACGGTAATGATGATTAGCGGCAACAGAGATAGCCGACTATGATGACGAAGTTTCCCATCAACGGCAGCAGAGTAGGCTATGTTGATGAGGCTTGACAAGATGTTGATGAAGATGACGATGTCGGTGATCCAGTCAATAGCAATGTAGCAGCCGATGATAACGATGAGATCCTCTATCGGCAGTTGCGTAGTAGGCCAACCGTGAAGACAAATAATTGGAGGAGAGTTGATGTTGTTGCCCAACTCGTCTAAACCGAAATATTTGAAGTTGTTGAAGTAGAATGTCTGTTCCGAAGCAAAGATGAAGATAATGACTCCTGGAGTTGACTCATTGGCTGATTAATTGATTTCTTCAGCTTGACATAAAATTTGTCAAATTTTGAGCCTTATATTTGTGTAGCCCCCGACTCTTTGGTTAGTTGGGAAACAACTGAACATAGAGTCGAGAATTATAGCTTCTTGTCGTCGAGTAGTCATTGCTTGATTGAAGATATGTGTTGAAGATGTCCAAGTAGAAATCCTGAATATTGGAGAGCCTCTTGTTGTAGTAAAATAACATGGCATCGTATGCCGAGATGTCGAGGCTAACAAAGACGTCGTGGTTGGTGAAGTAGCAAAACTTGCGAAGTAGCAGCAATAGAGTTTGCCAGTGCCGAAGATAATAAAGATGAAGTCGCTCTACCATGATGACAAAGTTGCATTGCCGTGATGAAGTGAACACGAGTCGGCGGCAACAGAAGCAAACTGGTAGTGAAGACGCGCAGTTGTGAAGATAAAAGCACCAGTCGGCGACAGCATAACCAGTCGGCGACGGAAAACGATGATGTTTATCAGTAGTGGTAGCTGTCTAAACCAGACGTAGAGGTGAGGGCACTAGTCAGCAGTAGACGTAGACAGCTTGCGTTGAAGATGATGATGCCTATTAGCGGTGACGGTGATGTAGCCAGCCGTGAAGAAGATAGCATCAGTTGGCGTCATAACAGGCCAGCCGTGCAGGCGGTGACACCAGTCGGCGGCGGACGAGGCGGCCGGTCGGTGAAGACGTAGACGCCCAACAACGGCGGCATAACAGGCCAGCCGTGCAGGCGGAAACACCAGTCGGCGGCGGTCGAGGCGGCCGGTCGGTGAAGACGTAGACGCCCAACAACGGCGGCATAAAGGCCAGCAGTGCAGGCGGAAACACCAGTCGGCGGCAAGCCGGTCGGTGAAGACGTAGACGCCCAACAACGGCGGTCATAATAGGCCAGCCGTGCAGGCGGAAACACCAGTCGGCGGCGGACGAGGCGGCCGGTCGGTGAAGACGTAGACGCCCAACAACGGCGGCATAACAGGCCAGCCGTGCAGGCGGAAACACCAGTCGGCGGCGGCGAAGGCAAGCCGGTCGGTGAAGACGTAAACGCCCAACAGCGGCGGCATAAAGGCCAGCCGTGCAGGCGGAAACACCAGTCGGCGGCGGCGAAGGCAAGCCGGTCGGTGAAGACGTAGACGCCCAACAGCGGCGGCATAAAGGCCAGCCGTGCAGGCGGAAACACCAGTCGGCGGCGGACGAGGCGGCCGGTCGGTGAAGACGTAGACGCCCAACAGCGGCGGCATAAAGGCCAGCCGTGCAGGCGGAAACACCAGTCGGCGGCGGTCGAGGCGGCCGGTCGGTGAAGACGTAGACGCCCAACAGCGGCGGCATAAAGGCCAGCCGTGCAGGCGGAAACACCAGTCGGCGGCGGCGAAGGCAAGCCGGTCGGTGAAGACGTAGACGCCCAACAACGGCGGTCATAATAGGCCAGCCGTGCAGGCGGAAACACCAGTCGGCGGCGGACGAGGCGGCCGGTCGGTGAAGACGTAGACGCCCAACAACGGCGGTCATAATAGGCCAGCCGTGCAGGCGGAAACACCAGTCGACGGCGGACGAGGCGGCCGGTCGGTGAAGACGTAGACGCCCAACAACGGCGGCATAATAGGCCAGCCGTGCAGGCGGAAACACCAGTCGGCGGCGGACGAGGCGGCCGGTCGGTGAAGACGTAGACGCCCAACAGCGGCGGCATAAAGGCCAGCCGTGCAGGCGGAAACACCAGTCGGCGGCGGCGAAGGCAAGCCGGTCGGTGAAGACGTAGACGCCCAACAACGGCGGCATAATAGGCCAGCCGTGCAGGCGGAAACACCAGTCGGCGGCGGCGAAGGCAAGCCGGTCGGTGAAGACGTAAACGCCCAACAACGGCGGTCATAATAGGCCAGCCGTGCAGGCGGAAACACCAGTCGGCGGCGGACGAGGCGGCCGGTCGGTGAAGACGTAGACTCCCAACAACGGCGGTCATAATAGGCCAGCCGTGCAGGCGGAAACACCAGTCGGCGGCGGACGAGGCGGCCGGTCGGTGAAGACGTAGACGCCCAACAACGGCGGTCATAATAGGCCAGCCGTGCAGGCGGAAACACCAGTCGACGGCGGACGAGGCGGCCGGTCGGTGAAGACGTAGACGCCCAACAACGGCGGCATAATAGGCCAGCCGTGCAGGCGGAAACACCAGTCGGCGGCGGACGAGGCGGCCGGTCGGTGAAGACGTAGACGCCCAACAGCGGCGGCATAAAGGCCAGCCGTGCAGGCGGAAACACCAGTCGGCGGCGGCGAAGGCAAGCCGGTCGGTGAAGACGTAGACGCCCAACAACGGCGGCATAATAGGCCAGCCGTGCAGGCGGAAACACCAGTCGGCGGCGGCGAAGGCAAGCCGGTCGGTGAAGACGTAAACGCCCAACAGCGGCGGCATAAAGGCCAGCCGTGCAGGCGGAAACACCAGTCGGCGGCGGACGAGGCGGCCGGTCGGTGAAGACGTAGACGCCCAACAGCGGAGGCATAAAGGCCAGCCGTGCAGGCGGAAACACCAGTCGGCGGCGGACGAGGCGGCCGGTCGGTGAAGATGTAGACGCCCAACAACGGCGGCATAAAGGCCAGCCGTGCAGGCGGAAACACCAGTCGGCGGCGGCGAAGGCAAGCCGGTTGGTGAAAACGTAGACGCCCAACAACGGCGGCATAATAGGCCAGCCGTGCAGGCGGAAACACCAGTCGGCGGCGGTCGAGGCGAGCCGGTGGTGATGTTCTGACTGATCCATTCCTGGAGCGTAAGAGATAAGCTTAAAGCCATGAATCCCTTTTATGCATATCTGGATCTGGATCCTGCAGAACAAACATATAGGATGAGTAGTATCTGATATAAATATAATACTCGGGAAAAAAATCAAGTATTTTAAAATATTTATAAATATGTATTTCTCCTCTTGTCAATTTTGATTTCCCCGAGCAGATGATTCATTACGTTTAAACGCTCTGTCCGACTAGTCATAGCCCCCAAGCACCGGGAGTCGGCCTAGGCACTTCCCAGACATGCATATGAGTGACATGAGTTCGCCATTAATGGAACAAAGTTTCACGAATCAGAATTTACTACTCGGGTACTTTTGCAATTATTAAGAGCAGAAAATAAATTTATCTTATCTCTATGCTTTTGATTTATTCCGAATAATACTTAGCACCTTGCGTTACTCGGTCCATCCAACGAGCCCCCGGGTGCTAGGAATCGGCCCAAAGGCAACCATCCATTGGCAAACCAAACGGAAAGCATAGGAAGATAGAACTCCATAACTCGATAGGTACTTTTGTACTCAGATTATGTCGCAAGCAATCAAGATAAATATTATAAAAAATATGATATAACATCTGTAGCCCCCGACTCACTACTCAATGGAAGACCAATTGGTGTAGTGAGGCAGAGGAAAAGGAAAAAAATCATATAAAGAATAAAATAAATGATGACTTAGCTTTGTAATATTCCCCTTGGTGATGGCAGAAGTGGCCAATGTGGGAACAAAGTCGTCCATCAATAACAATGAAGACACCAGTCGGCGGCGACGAAGGCGGTCGACGGTGAAAGCGAAGATGCCCACTAATGGCGGCATAATAGGCCAGCCGTGCAAGCGGAGGCACCACTCGGCGGCGACGGGGGCAGGCCGGCGGTGAAGTCGTAGACGCCCAACAGCGGCGGCATAATAGGCCAGCCGTGTAGGCGGAGGCACCACTCGGCGGCGACGGAGGCAGGCCGGCGGTGAAGTCGTAGACGCCCAACAGCGGCGGCATAATAGGCCAGCCGTGTAGGGGGAGGCACCACTCGGCGGCGACGGAGGCAGGCCGGCGGTGAAGTCGTAGACGCCCAACAGCGGCGGCATAATAGGCCAGCCGTGTAGGCGGAGGCACCACTCGACGGCGACGGAGGCAGGCCGGCGGTGAAGTCGTAGACGCCCAACAGCGGCGGCATAATAGGCCAGCCGTGTAGGCGGAGGCACCACTCGGCGGCGACGGAGGCAGGCCGGCGGTGAAGTCGTAGACGCCCAACAGCGGCGGCATAATAGGCCAGCCGTGTAGACGGAGGCACCACTCGGCGGCGACGGAGGCAGGCCGGCGGTGAAGTCGTAGACGCCCAACAGCGGCGGCATAATAGGCCAGCCGTGTAGGCGGAGGCACCACTCGGCGGCGACGGAGGCAGGCCGGCGGTGAAGTCGTAGACGCCCAACAGCGGCGGCATAATAGGCCAGCCGTGTAGGCGGAGGCACCACTCGGCGGCGACGGGGGCAGGCCGGCGGTGAAGTCGTAGACGCCCAACAGCGGCGGCATAATAGGCCAGCCGTGTAGGCGGAGGCACCACTCGGCGGCGACGGGGGCAGGCCGGCGGTGAAGTCGTAGACGCCCAACAGCGGCGGCATAATAGGCCAGCCGTGTAGGGGGAGGCACCACTCGGCGGCGACGGAGGCAGGCCGGCGGTGAAGTCGTAGACGCCCAACAGCGGCGGCAAAATAGGCCAGCCGTGTAGGCGGAGGCACCACTCGGCGGCGACGGAGGCAGGCCGGCGGTGAAGTCGTAGACGCCCAACAGCGGCGGCATAATAGGCCAGCCGTGTAGGCGGAGGCACCACTCGACGGCGACGGAGGCAGGCCGGCGGTGAAGTCGTAGACGCCCAACAGCGGCGGCATAATAGGCCAGCCGTGTAGGCGGAGGCACCACTCGGCGGCGACGGAGGCAGGCCGGCGGTGAAGTCGTAGACGCCCAACAGCAGCGGCATAATAGGCCAGCCGTGTAGGCGGAGGCACCAGTCGGCGGCGACGGAGGCAGGCCGGTGGTGAAGACGTAGACGCCCAACAACGGTGGTGTGACCAACCAACCATATAGGCGGAGACACCAGTCGGCGGCGATGGAGGCAGGCCGGCGGTGAAGTCGTAGACGCCCAACAGCGGCGGCATAATAGGCCAGCCGTGTAGGCGGAGGCACCAGTCGGCGGCGACGGAGGCAGGCCGGCGGTGAAGTCGTATACACCCAACAGCGGCGACGTAGACCAACCAAGAAGGTCAGTACTCCAGTATAGAAGCAGCCTATCTCCCCTCTCAGCCAACATATTACTCCTGATGTGTACTGTTTGGAGTGATCCTGTATATGATATATGAGACTTAGCATCGTGACGTGACATCCAGCCTCCAGGCATAGCTCCTTGCTTTGCATGAGAACGCGACAGTGCTGGATTGGAACACATGCAAGTAAACGGATCGCTCTGGTACTCGGCGGCACGGTTGCTCGGTGGGCTACGGCATCCTGGACAAACTATGGCAGTTGTCTCAAGATTTCCAATCTGAAGCATCGTGGTTGATAGTCTCAAATTAATTGCCGTGGCATAATCCAACTCTTTGAAGCGAAGATTCTTCCTGGATATGAACGTAGTTTGCCGATTTGTAGTCGGGCTGGTCCGGAGATCAAACTGTGATCATTGTGTGAGGTGGCTGGACCCGCATGTGCACGGCTGCCGTCGGTATTGATATCAGCGGCGGCACGATATCTTGCTGTTGAATAGATTGGAAACTCGGGCGTACCGGCGTGGTGATCGTGTATGGACACCACGAGGTAGGACGCCGCGGCGATGTATTCGTCGTTGATTGTCTGATCTCCTTTATATGCAGTGACACCCATCAGGGACCTGTGGCAATTGATGGAGAAATTCACGTGTGGCTTTCGTCTGCAGTCTGTGGGCACGTGCAGCTTGTAGCGTTGATGATAATGATTCCTTTGACGAACAATTCAGATTGCATTGCATGCTTGTTGTAGAGGCTTCTGGTCTTTGCTGATCAAGAAAAGAGCTCAGCGGTGGCGGAAATTAAATCCATCAGAATTGCCGAGATTAATCCTCCCAGGCTAGAGCGAAGAAGAGGCCGATAACTTTAATTTCTGATGATCAGGGAGACAACTTGACGACTGACTCAAATCTGACGATGAAGGTGTGTCGACGGCAGCGGATCTCACGCTACAGATGCGAAGATGATGCCGGCGACTCCTAAAAATTTATTCCATCGCACTTGTCGATAGAAACTCGATGCACCCCTACCTGGCGCGCCAACTGTCGAAACATGATTTCGGCAATAATAAAAGGGGGTAGCGCACGAGACCTAAAAGTGGATGGATGCAGAGACAAAGGATTTAGACAGGTTCAGGCCCTCTCAATGAGAGGTAATACCCTACTCCTGTTTGGGGATTTGAATCCACCGGGTGTGTATTGATCTGACGATCAGGTTGTCTCATCTGCCCCCTAGAGGGCCTCCTGCCCACCTTATATAGGACGGGGAGCAGGATTACAAGATAGAAACCTTAACCAATACGGTATCGGTTTCCTAAATCTACTTTACAATATTATCAAACCAGGACTTTAGGCCGTTCCGTAATATACAAGGAAACATAACACCCAAGTCATGATCTGTTACATATTACATAGATATAAGTTATCCCCTATAACTAGTCGGATAACCATGCCGTGTGGGTATGGGGTACCCATAGTCTCCACAATAGCGACGGTGCATCTGCTGCCCCCAATCTCTCATTCGCGTGGGATTTTTCTCAGCGGGGAGCGCTAGCAGCGCGCGAGGGAGGAAAACGGGGAAATCTGGTATCCTATATATCTATACAAGTCATCCCCACTAAGTACGATTTTCTGAGTTGTGGTACAGCCACGTCATTATTTAGTTCTCAGCCGTTCGATTACATCTCGAGGATCCTCGTTGCGTCTCCGTAGCGCCCTCGGAGCGACCAATGCCATAGGTGGATCCTGCCTCACGGCCGCATCGCCTCCCGTGGCCCCGGCGCTGTAGTTGCCACTTCCCCTTCTCCCCGCGATGTCGCACCCCTGTGCCACAGCTGCCTTCCCATGCCCCCATCACCCGCCTCCCAACCTCTTCGCCTCCTAGGTGTGTCCGCGTGTGCATGAAGAAACGGAAGCGTCAGTTGGCGCACAAAGAAACTGAATTAAACTGCCCGAAGAAATTAGTCTCGTCTATTCATCTTCAATTCTTCATGTTTTCAAACGGTCGCTTGCATTACTCCAGCCTTTCTTTCCCATCTTATTTATGTATGATGATATACACAGCAGCTGGATCGATCTTCTCGGCCAACAAGCAGGTGCTGCTTCTCCTCCATACAAGAACGTCCCTGGATGGATCTGCTCGGCCAGCAAGAAGCTTCTCCTCCATACACAGATCCCTGGATTGATCTGCTCGGTCAACAAAGGGGTTGTTCCACTTCCACTGCTTGCTGATCTCAGATGTTTCAGTGTAGGTTCTTTCCCCATTCAGCTATAAATCTTTTTATAATACATCTTGATTGATGCTAATTGAGTAGTCACACTAATTTCTTCGATTCAAAGTATCCCAAATCAGTCCCTTTCTATTTTCCCTGTACAACAGTATATGCACTAAATGACTACAAATAATTCTTATTACTAAGCAACATTTAGTGAATCAATGAGAATACACAGGCAACTGTATGATTCAGTGAAGCAATGACCTAGATGGAGATTTTTTTTATCATATATGCAACACAGTGCTCTCATTCAGAGTTCTTTTTGTGTGATTCTTCAGGCTCTGGCAATTTTTTCTACAACCATCAATGATGCAAGTAGCAGCAACAGTTTTATGGGCCCTGTCTCCTTTTATTTTATTTACCAAATATTTACCTGACATCCTGACCTGAGTTTACAATTTAAGTAATATAATAGTATGATCTCAAAATTCTTAAATTAACTTCAATAAGTTGTTGTTTATGACCTCAAGCTTCTATTGATTCATCTATCATGTTTATCTTCCTCATGTGTTGAGAAAGGGCATAATTAATCAACTATTCATGAATCCCATTTCCTCATATGGGAGGTAACATCAGGTCAGCCACTCAATTTGCATAACGTTAGTCCGGAATCTTTGTATTTTAGGTGACTCCTGTTTATTTTTAGATATGATAGTAATCTCCAAACTTCCATCAATAAAACACATGAAAGATAAGGACTGTGTCAAGTATTTTCAGTATTGTTCTTCTCCTTGCCCCATAGATTTGGAAGTTAGCTTTTGATCAATAATAAACTGAGTTTCGGAATAGCAAGCTACAGTATTTGAGAAAAAAAACATTAAAAACCATTCAACTCTTGCCTCTGCAACAGGTAACAAGCTTGCTCTTTGCCATTAACCTTATCCTATTTTGTTCATCGTGCTTAAATATGATCCTATTTTCTGTCAAGCACTATGGTGGTGTTTTATATGAGATCTGAAACTCTCAATGTACTGAAAGTGAAGCATTGCTATTATTATATTCCTTGCAAAAGTTGCTACAGTATCATCCAGAATTTTAGACTGCAGTCTCTGTTGCGTCTGTTTCCCTTCTTTTCTTACTATTTTTTTTATCATGCAAAGTGTACTTGAATTTTTAAATTTTATTTTAATACAAATATTCCGCAGCAATGCGCGGGGTATCATCTAGTTAGTTTAACATAAGGGCCCATTTTTAATTTTGGGGATAAAATTTAGGGTTTATCTTGCATATATCAGTTTTTTTGTACCTATTTTCAGTTTAGGAAATTCAAAAACAAATTTTTGAGGAAGATTATATGTAATTTCTTGATGATGCTCTAAGTTACTGTGGTGTTTGAATGGTTTCACCGATAAATTCGGAGTCAATTTGACTCTTTACATATTCCATTATTTAGAGGCTGATGTTTGCCAAATGCCCAAGTTCTAATGCATCTTTAAGTCTAAAGGGACGTGCATAATTGATTGAATGGAGGTAGTGGAGAATGTTTTGCTCTTGCTCGGAATATTGGGAAGGTTGAATACTCACATTGGAAAGATCTGTAATGTCAACATGAGCATGTTCTCCGTTAAGGTATCCTTTAATTAAGATCGTAGAGACGATAGATCTTTCCAATTCTCTATTGCTCGTCATCTATTATCTCTACGATCTTTATGAAAGGATACCTTAATGGAGCCTCGTCCTAGTGGACGTGCTACAATTAGTGTCGTACAAACTACTAGCAAGCTAGCCTCGCTAAAGAAACACATGGGGTGATATTCGCGTGTTGGCACAATTTGCCGTCAATATGTAAACTCTTAAGATATGTCATCGAAAATATGATTGACTATGGATTCGAGCCATAACACATGGTTTCATAAAATTTGTACGATTTTTTCGATCTAAATCGAATCACTAGAAGAAATAATCTTAAGACTTATATTATGCATGGAGCACTCACCTGTCACTGGAAGAAATAACCTTACCAGCTGAGTACTCCATTCATAACATAAGCTCAGGGCCAGTTTAAAACAGATAAAATTGTAAATGATAGATGATGGATGATCTGTTTACCGGGTTTAGTTAAATATATTATATAATATAATTTAAAATAGCTTAGAAAAGTAATATATGTTATCTTTTTAGAACTATATAGGCTACTATTGGAGGTATTGTATTTTTGAAAACATGGTATGAATAATCCACATGATAATCCATAATTCAGTTTTAGCTATACCGAACTGGACTCGTGAATGTATCATGGTCTGAAGACTCCAATATGGTCATTGCTGCATGGTGCATGCTCCCAATTTCCAAGATCAGTCACTCCATGAGAGAGAAGTTTGAATGGTCTCGTCATGCGAGAACTCTTGTGGTCATGTATATGAAAAATTTGTCGGTCTTGTTAGCACACCTTTGAGGAGTGATCCTACTAAATACAGGTCAGGGATCGATCATATATAGGAACCTATTCACAAAACGACTTGCAACATTTTTTTTTGTTTGCTTGATAACTGATATTTTAATCTCAGTTGCTTGTTTATGCCAAATGTCGTGACCTAAACAGCTAACAGGTTTTAACATCAAAAGAGACTCGGGTTAATTGTTATTCTCTCTGATCCGTGTTGATCGCAAGCCCCATTTTGTGTGATGTGGGTTTGGTGCTCTACTGCTTGAATATTAATTAGATCCATGCTTTACACGATAAAAGCGTCCATACATATGGAGTTGTACTAAAAAAAGTAATTAGTCTTAACACTTTGTATCACAGAATATATCTTGGCTGCTGGTCATACCTGTAATCATAAGCAGAGGTTGTTACGTACCTCTTGCGTGGGGACAATGGGGCCATTTCTTTCTGTCTCTTTGGACTAAAATACACCCAAATGCATGAGTTTATGTTATCTTTATCCAATGTAATACTTGTCAAACCCAGATATGTTAATGGGCGAAAGAGCATATCAAATTAAACAAGGAACCATGGTATATACCTTTAATTTTATAGTTATGATTGACACATCCGTTATACAATGAGATGTGTTAGCAAGACATCAAGGGACTTGACGTAGAATTTTGATTGGAATTTTTTTTATTATCGAGAGCATATATAGCGTTGATCTTTTTTTTAAAAAAAGAAAGAAGCGCACTGATTATTGGAAGAACAAACACTATATTGAAAATTTGCCGTACTTTGTTTTGAGCTTGTTTTAGCGAGGGTATGTCCAGTTAATAGCTGTCTGGTTATATTTAATCGTATCTTGCATATTAATTAGAGCAACTAAGTATGTTTACCAGAGGGTTATTAAAGCAGAATCAAGTAGGCTAACTCTTCCCATCAGTTAGTTCGCAGGTCTGATGATGCCGGCTTAATTAACGCCGTGAAGGCTGTTTTTAAAAAAGAGAAGTCTAAACACGATTTCATAACTTATCGGTATGGCAGATGGCCGTACAAGAGGGGGCAATTTTTCTTGTGCAATTTGAGCTTTTCAGGCAGGCGGTTGTTGAATACAAGTGTCTAATCTTGACTCGCTAACCCAACAGCAGCAGCTTAATGATGCGTATTAGGTTATTGCTCCTGAATATTGTAATGCCGAGGGGCCTGGCAATTCTGGAAGCTGATGCGTTCTCACTTCATAATCTATGCGTGCATAAATAGGAAGGTACCGACATGTTCTTGCTCCTCTTAAGCATTCTGAAATTTGTAAGACGAAGACCAGATAGAGAGCCTTTCCATAATTGTACGATGTCCATACGATGGCTGCAGCTCTCCTCCTATCTCATTTTGACTTCACGTCTACTACAGTATTATTAGTAAAAGTGATCGACAAGCCGAAGCCAATTCAGTCAAGGAGTGGTTACTGGTTAGTGCCAACAGACTCAGATTTACATCGCTTTTTCAAAAAGATTGTGCATAAGACATCATTTCATAGGACCAATATGCATGAGAACAATGCACCTAAAAAAAACTCCAAACAAAGGCAGCCAGGTTTGCTTCCAATGTACATGTAATAAGGGGATGCTAAAAGGTTTGGACACGCATTCAGTTAATCAGATTGCTCTCGGTGCTGCAAGGGCTGTCTGCACAAGTACAAACATGAAAGCATTTAATCCTTTCATAGGTTAATCAGATTGTCTTAGATGTTGAATGTTATCGCTGATTCTGCAAGAGCTCTGTCTGCAAGCACAAAAACGAAACCATCTCGTTCTTTCATAGATGTGGGACCATGGCCCGTTGTTCATAAGATTCGGAAATGGCATCTACAAGTATAAGAAACCAACTTGAAGTTAATAAATCAGCAGCAAACAAGGAAGAATTAGGTAGCTTATTAACTAGCACATAATAAAAATTGCCAGCTAGAGATAATATGCTCGATTCCCTGTGCCGAGGTATTGGTAAGATAAACTAATAAACAGCAAACATAAGAAAGAGGCAGTCCTACTACTGAAGTACTGATAAGTTCAACAGGTGGCATACCTACTGGCGAACACACTAGAATGAGACGCAAAGAGAAAAAGGCCCACAGAATACCACAAATGCTTACGCAAAAAAAAAGTGTGAAAAGAAAATTGTAAGCTGGTGCGTTTTCAGTGTGTGTAAATGGACAACTAAAGCTAAACATGATTGGCAGTTTTTGGCTTTATTTCTGAAACATCCAAATAGAAGCAACCAAAATATTCACACTGTTCTTGGAAAAGTAAGGTCAAACTATGACTGTTTGCTAGCAAACGCAAGCATAACAATCAATGCAAAGGTGCATACCCCAAAAGTCCTCTTCCGTGCCACTTTCTTGGTGTAACAGTTAAGTTCATTGATGATCCCTGACGAATGATGACTAGAGATACTTGACAATCCTCATTGGAAAGAGCTTCAGAGACAAGCCTTTCTTGCAATCTATCACCTGCTTCCACATTTCCAAACTTTACTATCTCATCCCAAAGCTGCAAGCCATCCACAGCAGCAGGAGAACCATCTGTCAGTTCATCAATTATGGCAAAAGGAAGTCTGGTCACAGCATCTTCTTCCATAGGATCATTTTGAGATAACCCACTGTGCAATGAAGCAGGTGTGCCTGCACGAAATCAAATATGATGAGAGATCAACAATCCTAATATCCTTTGCATCATGATTTAACTCATGCTCTGGTGGTGAGGTTAGGACCTTAATTTTATGTAGCAGACATTTAACAGAAGCCTAGCCAATGCTTTTATATACTATGTGCAACGCACCACTTTCCATGCACCGGTTTGCACTCTTGCCTTTAAGATACTTAAGATGATTGGCAAGAAAAAGAGAATAACTCACTTTATGTTGGTTATTCCATATTTATATCATCGAGGAAAACAGAATACAATTGCCAAGCCATCATTTTGTCACTGAGGGTACTTTTATGTTGCAGAATTAGTGAACATGTAGAAATTGCAAAATTGAAGGTATTGGTTGGCTATAGTGAAGATGACTAATAATTGATTCGTATGAGAAATCATAGCACATCAGAGTATGGGAAAGAAACCTATGATCACAGAAAGTATGCTGTTTTGAATTCTCATGATCTCCAAGAGTTCAAGGCACATCTTTGACTATTACAAAGTTACAGAAGTACAGTATTTATGACATCTGGAATTCTGGATCATCTGTTCATATTATCTTCATGGGACCAATATAGAATTTTGTGATAAAATGTTGGCAAAAAAATCTAAAATTTTGGCTGCAGCTCCTACGATGAGAAATTTTATATGAACAGACGGTGATTAAAACTTACCAGAACTTGCAGGGATTGACGCTTCATTTCTTGACAATTTTGTTGAGTGCAAAACTTCCAGATTCTTCTCAATTTTGTTCGTAATATCCTTGTGATCATTCCGCAATTCTGCAATGAACATAGTACAATATAAATACCAACTACAGCATGATATGTATAGAGCATTTAGTATACATACATCATATGCCAGCCCAAAGCCCCAAGCCACAATTCTAAACGTAGTCCACTATTACCCAAGGCTGAACATTGCCCCGCTGGACCCACACGTTCTGTAATATAAGTTTCCCTTGAACCTTCAAGAAATATAATTTTCCCCCAAACATTTAAGAAACTTCCTATAACTGGCACGTACTGTAACTGTCTCTTGTTTCATTTACTGCCTATTTTCCCATTCATCTACATATTAGTCCTCTTTTTCCTTCACCCCCATGTTTCATGTACATTTTATATATATATCGATAGTAGCACCCTAGTAGGTGAACTTATCACAATCCCATCCAAAATATGAAGAGACTTTCTGATACTTGAGAGCAAAACATAAATGAGTCACAGAGATCCATTAAAAAAAAGGGTTTCCTGAACACATTGACATGCATAAGAATCATGAGAAAATGCAAAAAGAAATGCTCAAGCTATAAAATTCAAAACATTCAGACCAAGGTCACATAACACAATAGCCATCATGTATATACGGTTTGCACAATTTCCATCCTCGCACCTCATTAGAACAGCCAAATTCTAAGCACCACACTATCCAGCCCCAACACACTGATCTTATCACATAGTACATAATACTGACCCACCCCAACTTCGCTAGAGAAACCCATTAATTCATTATAATCAAGCATCCCCATTGCTGGTCTTAAATGGAGTTCATGCATAACCCCGTACCAAACAGATCACAGTAATCGGTAACAGAACAAGCAACGGGGGCAACCATACCGGCGAGCTTGCGGCGCTGGGCGAGGACGGCCGGGATGTCGATGTCGGACCTGGGGAAACCCTAATCCAGAGCCAGAACAAAATCGATTAGCTAACCGGAGGCAACCCCCCCCCCCCCCCCAAAAAAAAAAGGTAGGGTTTAGGTTACCCACCTCCGCGTCCACGAGGCCGCCGGTGATCCCCGGCCCGACGGGCACGGAGAGGGCGGCGATGATGGCGTCCATCTCCGCCTCCACCGCCGCCCGCCGGTCCATCAGCCCCACCGTCTCCGCCTTCAGGTTCGTCGCCACCATTGCTTCCCTCTCCCTCCCTCTCTCTCTCTCTCTCTCTCTCTCTCTCTCTCTCTCTCGGCTGCTGCTGCTTCTCGTGGAAGCGACGCGGATTCGCGAGGCGGTATTATTCGTTGTAGAGTTGTACTGGCGGTTCGGTCAAACAGTCGTGGACCGTTAGATCCTGGACGGACGGTCAGGATCGGACGGCGCAGGGGGTCTCTTCCTTTTCTTCTTCTTTCTTCGGGAACCCTCTCGCGTGCGGCGGCGGCGGCGGTCTCGGCTCGGCCTCCTCTTCCGCACCCTCCTCCAGGAGCGCGAGATCCGGTAAGCCCTAGATCTCTCCCTCGCTGCCTCGTGCACTGGTTGCAGCTCCGCGATGAGGGATGGATGATGAGGTTGTTGTTTGTTAGGAATTGAAGGGGTTTTTTTTTCCCATTTTTTACGTTGCTGGGTGGGGAAGGATGGTGTCGATTGCGTCTGCAGGATTCCGCTACGAGTTTGGTTCTTCCTATTGTTTTAGGCTGTAGATTCTAGTAAGATTAGTTCGAACCTGAACTGTGCCGGTTGCGATTGAACCCTTGAGAAGCTGAGTTGCTAGAGATCAAACTTCCATGCCGTGTGAGTCCCCTCTCACCTAGAGAGTGTGTGGATTATGCAGAGCGATATTCTTGAGCCCTTGTAGAGAGAATGAGGAAAAGAGTAGTGATATTTCTCAACATTGTCATGTAAACAATTCAGTGGTGCATTCTGTAAAGATATGTGAAGCACACTGCACACGCTGAATTTGGCCATTCATAAGCATTTTGCCACATTTGCAATAGTACAATTATAAATCGCTTAGTGCCCTAGCCTGGAAGCTTCCTTGAACTTCTTAACATTGACTATCCATGAGAAGTCTTAGGGTCTTAAAATAGCATTCATCTTTAAAAAGGGAGAAAAGAAAAACTGTCTATGCGAATCATGAAACAGAAGGATTCTGAAACTAGAGAAGAGATTTTATCCTAAGCTTATGTAAGAACTTATTACAGAAATATTATAATTTTATTTCTGTTAATGGTTTAGAACTTTTAAAGTATATTGCCATTTGCCCTGTGCTGTGAGCTCCAGTACCACTGACCATAACACCACTAATTTAATCATATCAACTTCTTGAATTGTATCGACGACACTGTTTTGTTACATAGCCAATTTTGATTGGTTACAGTAAGTTTATATTTGTAGTTTTCTGTGCTTACAATTTACCACTCTCCTTTTCACCGGTGACCGATTCTGGTGATCACTGTGCTTCTGTTGATGCAAACTTCTTTTACTATGTTGCATTGTTACTAATGAATTCTTTTAGCTGAATACTGTATACACCTACTCAAATAAATACAGTATACATTGGAAGCGATCATACAAAATTGCACTGGAACAATACTGTATGCACTGAATGTCTGAAAGTGATAGTATCAAATAGCACCTAACTGTTTCGATCTTCTAAGCAATCATCAGTCATCACAAATCAGTTGTTCAAGATGATCATGCTAGTCTCTTGATTCTTCTTGGAACTGATCCAATGCTGTTCAATTTTGTTTTCAGAGATGGGGAACACTGCATCTGGGGCGACTGAAGCTTCAGATTCGACGGAAAAAACAGAACAAGCTCCTCCAGCTGACACAAAACCAAAAAAGAAGATCTGCTGTGCTTGCCCAGACACCAAGAAGTTGAGAGACGAATGCATCGTGCAGCATGGTGAGGACGCCTGCGGGAAGTGGATCGAAGCCCATCGGCAATGCCTGAGAGCCGAAGGTTTCAACGTCTGATGCCATGCCCCCATCATAGGCATAGCAAAGTGATATTTTGCTCTTGTCATAATCCGCTTTCGATCCTGAACCAACATGATGAATAAAAGATTCTGTTAGATCTCTAGGATGAACTCGCTGTTTCACTTTCGGAAAAGGGGACAAGTCACTGAACATGCCAATTTGCAAGAGGGCATATGTCTTTTTCCTAAGCACCATTGATGTGCAATTGCCTCAATTGATACTGTACGAAAGAAAGCATGCTTCTTCTTGTCCATTGACTGGACTTAAGATTCATTTAACTTTTATGCTTGGATTATTGCTCTTCGAATCACCACATTACCAGTGGTGAATGTACAAGATGCTGTCAAACTCTCTCTGTAAATCTTTTTACCGGTGCATGTTGCTTCAGTTTTCTGGTCACATTGCGTGCTTGGCGTACTGCCATACACAATGCAGTGGTGCTGGGCTTGTTGCATTTGTGCTCTTCGTGCGGATGCCGTGGATTCTGGCACTTTTCCAATATGTATATTTCTTATAAAAAAAACTCACTTTTCCAACATCAGGGTCGCGTGGTTTGTAAGCATTTCGGTTCGATTCTGTAGTCTCCAGTTTTGCTTTTTATTCCTCCTTTTTTATATTCCAAATGATTTTGTGGAAATTGTGGCAGAGGATTGCCTCAAGGTTCCTCACTGCTGTCTCATGCATGCATCATCCAACTGCATCGCCATCGTTTCGTTTATGCTTATCTTGCCATCGTTTCGCTTATATTTAGCTTTATCCATACTGTTTATGTAGTCAAAATAAAATCTATGGATAAAATTTTTATATGCATGTCTTTAGGGATTCAAAAATAAATTGTGTAAAATAAAGTAGGGTGAAAAAAAAATACTAAATCAACTCTAAAATTAAGTTTGAAAAAATAAATTTTAGCTTACAATCATAAGCATAAGCACAAATGAACGATGGATGCACCAATAGAGTCAATATGATTATTAAATGATTTACTTCTTGTTAATTTAGCGGTAATAAAAGAATATTCGCTCCGTCCCAAAGTAGATATCACTTTAGGATTCAAAAATTGTCCCAAAAAGCTTGTCACTTTAAAGTTCATATTTGTCATATCAATCACATCAAATCAAAATTTTCTCCATTCTACTCTCTGCCTACCAACCATATATTCCCTCCGTTTCATAATGTAAGTCATTCTAGCATTTCCTACATTCATATTGATGTTATTGAATCTAGACATATATATCTATCTATATTCATTAACATCAATATGAATGTGGGAAATGCTAGAATGACTTATATTGTGAAACGGAGGAAGTATCATTTAATAGAGAGTATTATACTACCTCCGTTTCAGGTTATAAGACTTTCTAGCATTGCCCGCATTCATATATGTGTTAATGAATCTAGGCACATATATGTCTAGATTCATTAATATATATATATATATATATATATATATATATATATATGAATATGGGCAATACTAGAAAGTCTTATAATGTGAAACGGAATAAGTAGTCATTTTTGCTAAATAGAGAGTATTAGCAGAGAAGGATGATAGGTATATTGGGATGGAGGTAGTAGTATAGTAGCCTCGGAAATATCTACAGCAATCTAACCTTGTGGAAATTTATACATATGAGGTTCCGTAACACGATGTGAATTCAGTTATATAAAGAAAGATTTCTTTAAACTTGTCATTACTCTTCCCATCCTAGATGAGACGTATCCTAGATTATTATATTTTAGAACGGAGTTAGAATTATTATGCCACGCTTACAATCTCTTAAAACTTTCTAAATCAAACCTTACTTCAATAATTCTTTAAGCTATTTATTAACTTTGTCATATTTGTTCCATTTATACGACTAATTTTTCTGTCTACAATTTATCCAATTATCCTGTCGGACCCCGTCCTCTGAAAACAAATCATCCTAGCAACAAGATCTACTTATCACCGAGCGCGAATCTTAAAGCTTTAGAGTATCAGAGTCAGAAACTGATCACCAGGCGTGAATCTTAAAGCGAAAGCGAGCCGAAAACAGGGATATAATCCGAACAATAACCAAAGCCACCAAAAAACGTGAAAAGTAATTGAAAACCTAGTTTACCCGCACCGTCCGATCTCCCGAGACGACTCGCCGACCACCGTCCGTTCTACCTATAAATCCACGCGGCCCGAGCCACCGAAAAATCCAGCCAAGAGGGGAAAAAAAAAGGGAAGGAATTTTTTTCTTTTTTTTTTGTTCGCCTCCGCTTCTTCCTCACGCAGCTCTCGCCTCGCCTCGCCGCCCGCCACTAGAGAGGAGAGGGAGAAGGAGGAGGAGGCAAATCCCAGCAAAAGAAGATGCAGATCTTCGTGAAGACCCTGACGGGGAAGACCATCACCCTCGAGGTGGAGAGCAGCGACACCATCGACAACGTCAAGGCCAAAATCCAGGTTTGATTCCTCCAAGCTAGGCTATAGCTGTGAATGATGCGACGGCGTTGGATGGATCGCTGTCGCTGGTCGTGTTTCCCTCTTGGGGGAGGGGCTTGATCGACCGATCGATCGATCTAGCCCGCGCCCGTGTCGCGCGATGGTTCTTGCCCTAGTTAGTTATTTACTGTGCCATCAGAGTTGGGTTTTGTTCAGGTTCGAATTGGGGGAAGTGGTTTTGAGAAGCTGAAGCTGTATATTTTTGTCCATTCACAGTTTGTAGATTAGTTGCACTAATTTTGAGCTATGCCTAAAATTAGATCAAGCACGAAAGGATAATATGTTCGGGGAGAAATTAACATTGAGGATGAATACGGTAGTAGGATAATATGTTCGGGGAGAAATTAACATTGAGGATGAATACGGTAGTTGCTCCTCTTGAGGTTGAGATCGCCGAATTCGTGCAAATTTGATAATGAACGCTCCATTTCCATGTGATTGCACAATGTTTGTCAGGTTGAATAGTACTGTACAATTCAATAAATAATCAATAACATCGTCCCTTGCTATGAAATTTGACTTGTCTGGAATTAAAGATGCTTTGAGTTGTGTGTTGTATTAGTATATAGATTATTAGTCAATAGTCAAGAAATAAAGATAGATGGTAATCTTGAAAAGCTGCCTAGGGTAGTGGAGAATATGTCAAATGGTGTGGTCCAATGGCATACTCATATTTTATCTCATTATTTATGACGTTGTCCTTTATTTCTCCTAGACATGCGAACCTTACTGCCTTTATGGAATTCATTCTTTCAGTGAAGGTCCCCATACTCTTTGTCTAATGATTGATCGATTCCATGAGATTTAGAAGCGTATCATTGGTCTATTGGTCCTATCATATCGTTTGTTGCCAGTTTGATCAGAATATCATCCATAATTCTGCGTTGTCGATGCCTGTCTTACAATTGTAAAAAACAAGTGCAGTGACAGTTTGTAGCAGCTACTTCGGTCAGTGGAAACTAAGCTAACAAGTTATTTTGTTCACTGTCGCAGGACAAGGAAGGGATCCCTCCAGATCAACAGCGTTTGATATTCGCCGGCAAGCAGCTGGAAGATGGGCGCACACTGGCCGACTACAACATTCAGAAGGAGTCAACTCTTCACTTGGTCCTCAGGCTCAGGGGTGGCACTATGATCAAGGTTAAGACCCTCACTGGAAAAGAGATTGAAATTGACATTGAGCCCACCGACACGATCGATAGGATCAAGGAGCGTGTTGAGGAGAAAGAAGGCATTCCTCCCGTGCAGCAAAGGTGTATATTCTTGGAACTGCATTTCATATTCTGCTCAAACCAGTTTCTAAATTTTTCACACATCGGTGCAAAGGTGGTCTGCTACTATATATCTAGGACTAGTATTATCTGAGCTGACAAAAGTATTTGGTTTCTTCTTGTAGGCTTATCTATGCTGGTAAGCAGCTTGCCGACGACAAGACTGCGAAGGACTATAACATCGAAGGTGGCTCTGTCCTCCATCTTGTCCTTGCTCTGAGGGGTGGTTATTAGTAAAGCTAATGTGCTAGTACTTAGCTCAATACCTTCGAATGGCTGAGAAAATTTACTCTTGTTGGCATGGAACTTGCGAAGGGATAATAACATGCTAGCTTTGCACATTTGCCTAGTGGGAGAGGTTGTCTTCCATGTTATTATCTTATATGATTTGAGGCATATTATTCCAGATTCACCAGTCTTCACTGTTGGATGTGCTGTGGTTTTAGCTCCGTTGATTGAATCTTCTGTGGTCGCCAATTCTTTTGCTAAATCAGTGTTCAGTGATAGCTGAATTTGGAGATGTCACGTAGTGTTATGATTTTTGTGATGGCAAATAGTGCAGTAGCCAGACAAGTCCAGTGCAAAAATCAAGTCCACTTATGCCAACATGCAATCCATTACTCTTAAGTTCAATGTCATGCCTTGCAAAGTTGCAATCTCAAGTATTCTGGTATAAACAACAGGATAAGTGTTAAACACCAACCTCATGAACCCTTTTCATTAGTTTTTCGCTTCTTGTTCATAGACATTTCCAATAAAAGGCCCTAGCAAATCTCTCTCAAGTCAAGATGACACTATAGTAAGCTACAACTTGATAAACATACAGAAAGCAGCAGGTAGAACAAGTGCTTAGTACTTAGTGCTTACACCCTTACCCCCACACCTTTCTCTTCACTGATCTGAGCAAGGATCAAACCAAAAATGATGTGCAGCCAGCTGATCAACTTATCTTTTCTGTACAACCTAACCCAGAGCTAAATTAAAAGAAGTAAACAAGAACCCTATGAAACAGAATATCTCCTGTTCCTAAGAGGTGGGAGGGGAGAGGGCTTCACATCTGCAGGCTTAGCCGACAATGGCGGGCTCTGTGAGCTACCTGACGTCTCTGAACCTTTGCCATTCTCTCCCTGCCCCTTGCTGCTCCATATCTTGTCAAAGATCCTCCTGGACCTTGACTGCAGAAGGAAGCCGCCAAGCTGGTCCTTGAAGCTGTTCCTGCCTCCTCCCCTGTGCTCGCTCTTCCGGTGCTCGACCTCTCTCGCGCTTAGGCTGGTCGCTTGCTTGTTCAGCGAGTTTGGATGCCTTGGTATCCGTCTTTCGCAAATGTCACTCTGATCCTTCATAATAGGCTTTGCGCACGTGTGTCCTCCACCATCCGTTAGAGCAAGCGCATTGCTGGAACCCGCCCTCAGCTGTTGGAAGAAGAGGACCTGCACCACCAACCGGAGCGGTAGGCGGTCGTTTTGCGTGGCGTGCATGCTTGCATCTGTTGAAAGCTTCTTGACATCTATCAGACCGCAGATCTTCTTCTTGTCGGCTTTACTTATGTTTGGATGCTCCTGATTAGAAAGAAGCAAATGATCAGATGCCGTTATAAGTTATAACATACAACATTTACAGGGGTTGAGTTGGATACAAGTGATTTATCAAGTCTGCTTCTATGCCAGAGCAAAAGAAAAATAAAAATGCATTAATCTTGAGTTTTAGAAGAGTGCAGCACCGAGTAACTTATTGATGAGTCACAATCCCAAACAGGGTAGTACTATACACATATTTGTAAGTGTTATGAACATACCTTGAGATATGCATCAACAGCTGAGTACAAGCTGTCATGAACAGGCCTAGCTGCTTCTGGAACCGCTGTTGCTAGTTCAACAAATGTAGACAATGAAAGGTCTGGATCTGAAGCTACTTCAGATAGATAGCCATCAACCAGCTCTCCTAAAGCCAAAGTGGATTCTTGTTCAAAGTTAAGCTCAATCATTTTGTCATCAGATTTCTCAACAAAACCACCATTGTGGGACATCGCTGTTCTTGCAACAAATCTCTGCACAAGATTATGGACTAACTTAACATCGTGTGCGCCATCACTGGGTGAAGCAGCAGGTAGTAAGAGATCCTTAACCGAAGCTTTGTGCAACTGGAAACTAATCCTTCTCATAAGTTCTTCCTTCACATGTTGCCCAGCTCCAACCAATATAGCAACTTTCAACAGTTTCAAGAGAAACCTGCAAGAACAACCTGATGTCTTATCTGACGGCAATAACCATATTATAGTCTCGACCAAACATTGGTTCCTTCTCATGTAATCCTCCGCGACCAAAGCATCATAAGAATCTGGCAGCCATCTGACAGCATATGCTTTAAGGGCTTCCCCTATCAATTCAGGTGACATTCTCCCCTTGGATTTGACAGCAACCATCACTCTCTTGTAGAGGTCAACATCGAGCTCGCATAAGTCCTCAACCCACCAGTCTTTAGGAGCTATTGATGTTCTTCCTGTTGATTCAACTATTTCAGTACAGCTCATTCCTTTCCTGCTGTGACTGTATGACCAGGTTACATTAGCTGGATCCACAGATGTCTTTGAAGCAATAGCATCTATACATCTGCCGATGACCTTCAGCTCTTCGGACCAAGGTAATAGTGCTTTTGTGCTCTGGAGAACAATGATAGAGTCTTTCCAGCTACGGAGGATGCTAGAATTTATGAAGACATCGATTTTGAATATCAAGTTTCCCTTGTCCACATCTTCAGTCATTTCAAGGTACTCTGCTGCACATCTTGCTGCAACAACATTGTGAGGACTGAGGGTAACAACCATCCCATAGCAGAACTTAGCGCATATTTCGAACGCTGTCACTCCTCCAGGAAAGCCATCTATGTGGACCTCATCAGTCCCCTCCTCGGTGGCCTTAATAACTAACCTCTGAAGCTTGCTGCTCTTGGACAGAAGGGGAAACTGCACAAGCAATCAAAATCAAAAATATTTTTTCAGTTATGTTTGTCAATAAGACATTTCCCTGAATACCAATCATCACCATTCACCAGCAAGAAAACATAAACATTTATAAGAAATAACGTTTGTACAATGCAAAATGTCGGAGTTTGTTTTTTCTTAAAAGGTGGAGAATTGCACTAGTCAGTGTATCCCTCTTATTCCAAGGTACTGTTTCTTTAAGTAGTATTTTCAGTCAAATAATTGTTGTTGAAACAATCTGATAGTCACAGCAGGACTTAAATAGCTATCTCACACAACAGTAATTACTTGCAAAAGGGTTGCTAGCACAGAGATCAACTGATCAAGTACAGAAGTGGTCCATGCAGCCTATTATTTACTTGATTCAACAGCTTTTCATGCAGCATAGATCACTTTCTTTAAGCTAGAAACTTTCCATGCAAACGAAAATATGACAAGGTCACTATAGTTCTAATATTTACAAATAAATACTAATCACACCAAACATTTATTGAGATACTGCCAATGAAAAATTTAACATGAAACAGTATGCAGCTTATTGGAAAGCGATAGCGCAGCAACAATCAGATGTGAAACATAAATGCTGAATAGTGAATATGCTCTGTTACTGAGAGTATGAAAATGAAATCCTAAGTTTGAGCACCTATGCGGCTAAGCCTCAGGATATACTATATGTAAGTTGTAATACATGTCTAGCAGCAGTGCTTGTTTCTACCTTTGTCACTATTCTAAAGAAAAGATATAATACTTTTGAGTTAACTTCAGTGCAGTTGTGGAGAAATATTAGGAGCCCAACCTTATGTAAGTAAAATTTGACTTCGCTGACATGCACAATGACATCTGTTGCGAGGTCTGAGATCACATATCTGCATGCATAAAATAGAAACCGTAAGCAAATAATATTGCAAAAACAAACATATATTTTCCCTAGATAATATAATAATAGTCCTAAAAAATTCTAATAATAGCTTTTACCTAGTTTTAACGTTTCTTATGGAGTTATTTTTTTTCAAATTACACACATCAATGGTGGATAACCATAGAATGGTGCAAAAAAAAACTAGTATATGAGCCTAAAGGCAGTCTCAGATCAATATTCTGAAATCAAATGCGTATCCAACCAGCATATGGCTGCCCATAAATCATGAACAGTCGCTCTCTCAAACAAATGACAACAACAAAACACATTCCTATTATTCTAAGGTATAAAGGTCTTGCCAAAGACATGCACTGTCTATCGACAATGGACGAAAACATGAGGTGGCTGTTAAATAGACTGCACATTTGCACACCTCGCTTTCCGGTTATTCCAGTTCACTTAAGAAAAGCATGCGAAAGGCGCCACTAGAGTTGGTAATCAGGACACGCATGCATCTGTTAGCCACTAATGTCCAAAAACCTATCATGTTCACTTAAGATTAGCACCATCCCTTTCTCTCTTTTGAGGATTATCTGTACAAAAGGATGACTTAAGCTCAGGTTGCCTTGTTTTCATCAGGTTAGCTTGCTACGAAAGCATCTTGCCATAAGATCCCAACATCACATTCTGCTTTATGCCTCTCATCACTATGTTATTGCATTCATCAGTAGTACAGAACTACCAGATTGTTTCAAAAGCCGGCCGTAACGAAGCAACTTGCAGTGTGGATTCTTTAACTGAAGGGAAAGTGAACTCCTATCAATTATTAGGAAGATGGTGAGATGACCATCGTTTTCTTCTTTCCTTAATAATAAATTAAACCATCTAACTTTACCAAGTTGCCCAAAACAACAAAACATAGTGGTGCCTACCATATAATAGTAACAGAGTGAAGCTTAATTCTCCTAACCCTCAGATCTATTCTGCACTAACCTAGCGCCCTAGCCACAAAGAGGAGGAAAAAGAAACAAGTACATGCTCAGATATAGCAGGCATAAACAAAGCCTTTCTTTTTAGTCGACAAATGACTTTGAGCAATCTAATTCAAACACAACCAAGAAACAACTGCTACCAAGCTACGGATACCAGGAAGGCAATTTGGCTTCAGCTTATGCCCAATGATTAACCGCATCACAACGAGAGTAATTTATTTAATCAGATGATTGCCCATCACTGTAAACTAAGACGTTTAACAGCTAGCATATAGAATCACGACAAGGAGATAGACACGAAAGAAAATTAATCCCAAGAGAAACAAGGAATGCCAGCTCGAAAGATCAGAAGGAAAAACTTTGGTATGTGATGGATCCAGTTCACAAAACTGTAGAGAATCACGCATGCTATACATTAGTACAAAGGACACAGTTTGCAAAAAGAAAAAAGAAAAAAAAAGAAAGAGCAGAAACGATAAACAGCTTAGCACTTCCCAAGAATCAGTAGTCAACTCACCCAGCAACTTCAAATGGGAGACCATTTTTGGGAAGAAAACAAAAGTACAAAGTACGAACAAATTTGGTATTAGCAATCGAACAGGGGACTTGTAACCAATACTCAAGCATAATGTGAGGTCCAAATCCATGAACAAGCCACAAGATGACAAAAGAAAACATAGCTACTCCCATTCTATTAATTAAGAGAAGCTAGAAAACTGATGCAAGAAGAGAACTTTCCAAACGACTCCCATTCTATTAGCTGCCACCTTCATTCTCGCAAAACTTCATAAACACAGAGAAGCCATCAAACGAACGATTTCTATTGCAAGATATCTCCCCAAAAAAGCTTCAAAAAAATCGTTCTTTTACACCACTACCCAAGAAAGAATCCAATCCAATAATTAGCAAACCAACATGATGAACAGCAACCAGACACGTTCGTAATCGACGCCTCCCATAAACAAGCAAAGGAAAAAAAAAAGAACAGATTTTGACTACCACCTTTGCATCCTAACAACGTTATCAGAGTCAGACACCCAAAGAAACGCAAGCGAAGATCACACTTTTCTTCACCCAAACCGAAGCTAAAGATTGGAGAGGAGACGAAGGCGGCGCCTCACCTGACGTCGGCGCCGTCGGACTGGAAGGCGTCGGGCTTGGAGCCCAGCTTCATGAACTTCATCTTCTTCTTCTTCTTCCTCCTCCTCCCTCCCTCTCAGAGCCTCCTCCTCCTACTCCTTCCCATGCACGCACAAGCAGCTGAGCTAGCTGCCTGAAGAAAGCAACGCAGCAGCAGGAGGAGAAAGAGAGAAAGAAAGAACAGTGGCGAGTGCTGCTGCTGCTGCGGCAACTATACACCAACGGAGAACGAAGCGGTTGGTGAGGAGGAGAGTGATTAAACGCAGCAATTAAAGAAACAGATGTGGTTGAATGGAATGGAAGAGAGGAGTTGCCAATGATGCCGTGGAGTGTGAATGATGGGATATTATTAACTCCTCTCACTCCTCTTTCTCTCTCCTCTGCCGAAGCCGCCTTCTCTTCTGCTCTCACTAGCAAATTGCAATGTCAACATACTGCTCCTCTCTCTCTCTCTCTAGACTTGTTGCCTTTCCTCTGATCTCTGCACCTCTTTTCTTCACTTCAACGCACTAATAATAGTACTTACACCATGACCATGCTCTTAGCTGATGCTCCGAGATGATTACTTTCGCTATGATTATATATAATACCGTACTTACTCCAGCAATTAGCTGGGCTAATCACTTGTTTAGTAGGGTGCTTTTCTTTGGTAGTAGTGTTTCAGGGTGCGCCAGCCTTTACAACGGATGGTAGTGTGATTTTGCGCGCAGCTGCACAGGTCGCTTTCGGTGTGCGGCGCGGTTCAGAGAAGCAAACAATTCTTTCTTTTTCTCGAGAGAATTTTGAGGGTAGCAAACTTAACGATGTAGGCTATGTTTAGTTGGATCTAAAATTTAGATTTTGGTTTAAATTGAAGATGATGTGACTGAAAAATTCTGTGTGAATGATAGATTGATGTGATGGAAAAGGACTGAAGTTTGGATCTAAATTTTGAATCTAAACGCAGCCGTAATGACGTATACACAATATCCATACTCTCTCTCTCTAATCTCTTTCTCTCTCCTCTTGTCATCTAGAAGGCTCGTCCACGTCGTTTTTGCAATACAAAAATGGAGAGTCTCCTCTTTTCTCTGAACTTGTACTGTTTACATATGTTATCCTAAGTTTGACATGCAACATGTATAGTGACATTTGTTTATACAACTCGAATACCTATGTACTTGTTTTTTTAAAAAAAAAAACTACTATGTACTACAGTAGTAGAGTTCAGTGATTGACCTTCTAGCAATTTACTTATGGAATTCTTTAGAAAAATATTAGCTCCCCACCATTCATTTGGCTTGGTATGTAACCTATTCCATCCGTCTTAAAAAAAAAAGGCAAATCTTGGATGTCCAAATTCGTTGTACTATGAGGGGTCACATCCATCAAAGGTTTGTCACATCTCTCTAAGGTTAGTCTTTTTTTGGGACAGAGAGAGTAGGTTCTTAGTTCTTTGGAAATAAGTGTGATGTCCTGGAAATCTTAAGGGAAACTCAAACCTTTTGTATTGAAAGCCGAATTCCTCCGTAAAAATCTGATTGGTTAGAGTTGAAAGTTCAAAAATGTGTGCTAGGTGTAAGTTAATTGTTTCCAGCACAAAAGCCGGTTTGTTTGAGATAAATGAGCAAATGTTTCTCTGAATTTTGCTTGGTTTATACAAATTGATCCCATTTTGGATTGAAAGTTACGGCAGACAAAGAGGTTGGTAAGGCCGCAGCGTCATGCTACATGCAGAGAGGAGAGGGACGTCCATGAAATGTGTACTTCACAGGACCAAAGGAATATATGCTAAATACTTGAACAGAATGTCAGATCAGAAAAATCCACGGAGAAGTACTTTATTGGAAGAACACATTTTGGAAAGTGAATCTGAATTTTAAGTAGCAAGGAAATTGATGGAGCTATTATTTTAAGCACAAGCGTGTATGCACTCATCTTTTCTTGTGGAAAAAATAGTGGCAAAAAAAAGAAGATAAAACATTGATGGTTGTGTCATTATCAGTTCACAAATATACAAGAACACATTCAATCAACTTCTCCTTCTCCATGTGTAAAATAAATTCGATCTTGCATAGTTGTGAGGAATATGTAACATATATGTACAATGATCTATGATTTCTAGTCATATCATATTTTTTTTCATAATTATTTGAACATTGCGTAAAAAAAGGAGAACACATTCTCTCACAGGTTTAAAATCCCCTCTAGGTTGAGCATCACAGTTTTAAAAAAAACAGTAGCTGTTTTTATCTGATCTTGAATCGGTCAAGTAGTGTTAATATTCGCTTGGAATCAGATTAACACTAGAGCAGCGGAAAGCTAGCGGTTTTTCTATTCTACAGTTCCTACAGAAGAACAGCAGAAACTAACAAATTAAAAATGATAGATTGCAAATTGATCGTAGTTCAACTGGTTATATTTTCTTTTGTAGAACTAGTCCAGCCCTTATCCCGATTTAAATTCTAGATTGCGTACCCATCGATAGCGAGACATCTGTGACGATTTCGTCAATCTCAACGTATGCCAGCCCAAACTTTTAGAGGTATTCACATGGTTAAGAAGTATGTGTGTATTTATGACGATAAGTGTACGTATATTGTGAGCGTTTGTGCTTATATCGCTTTTCAAAAGAAAAATTAATCGCAGATTAGCAAAACAGCTAGCTTAGCTTCCCTACATTGTGACTAGTGTCAACCACCTTTTCATGGGCCAAACTCTATCTGCTTAGCCGATAAGCCCCCCCTAGCTAAGCACGTCACACCTCGGAGGACCAAGCTCTGAAAAAGATTGGGAGGATCACCACATAACAATATGTTACAAAAAGCTTTGCCCAAAAGCCACCGTGACCTCCCCCTCCGTCGTACCACTATAATACTCCCTCGCCCCGTCACCTTTCTGCTGCCCCTGCCGACCCCCGCCGTCGGCCTCGCGCCCGCCCGCCCGCGTTTACGTTGCCGACGCCGCGAAACCGGCTGCCGGCCGCTTGATTTTTCCGCCGATCAACCACGCGCGCGCCGCGCTAACGTACGTACGAATGTACGATACGTCGCGGAGACTACTCGCGGTGGCGGTGCCCTCTCTCAAAAAAATTTTTAACCGAAACACCGGCGTGGCACGGTCCAAGCCATGTGACGCGAGGCGCCGCAGCGTGCGTACGCGCGCGCGTCCACCAGTCGCGCCGCGCGCGGTTGGGTTTTCGCGTGGTTTTCTCTCGTGATCCCGCGGTGTTTCTAGTGGGGCGTTGTCCCGGTGGTGATGGTGGTGGTGGTGGTTCACCACCGCGCGCCCGGATCGCGTGTTTGGTGATGGTGGAAATCACGTACTCCTACTGTGTATGTGTACGCGTGCCGCATGCGGCGTCAGTCGATCGAATCCTGATGTGCGATGTGCTTTGGTTTGTTGGTTTAATTAATGGGGGAGAATCTTAGTCAAACGACGACGAGGGGGAGGCGGTTAACTTTGTGGGTAAGGCGGGAGTGATTAATTAAACAAATCGCCATCAAACCGACGGTGCGAAAGGCGCGATTAATTAGAGGCCTAATTAATACGCCACTACTCAGGAGTTAGGGAGGTTTGGTTGAGGGGTGTGTGTGTGTGTGTGTAACATGGGGATGTGACTGTGCTTTGGTTAGCTTGTTCCATCAAGGAGTTAAGTGGGTATAGCTTAATTTGTATAGTTCGTATTGTACTCCCTCCCTCCAGTCCTATATTAATTTCCTTTGTCGTTGAAGCATTTTACTAGGATGAATAATGAAAATGCTCTGTAGTTGGAGAGATTAATACTCCCTCCATCTATTTTTGATAAACGTATTTCTAAAACTAAATAATTTACTTTTAATAGATATATTTCAATCCGGCCACATATCCTCTTAATGACTTTATTGGATTTAATGTGTGACTCTTCATTCTTCTACACAAGATTGGCTACATGGGCATCGAGAAATATAAATATTAATGAATCGTTTGTTTACGAGGAATAACTAGTAGCATGTTTAGCGAAAAAGGCTTGTAACCTAGTGGTTACAAGAGCATCAATAGCACCTTATGTCCTGGGTTAGACTCCCCATAGGAGCGAATTTTTCAAGATTTAACGGCATTGTGCTTTCAGTGGTAGGTGACATACCCGTCGACAGCGAGGCGCCTGCGGTGACTTCGTCAATCTTCAGGATTTGCTGCCTCAGTCTTCGAATATACTCATAGGGGTAAGGTTTGCGTGCGTGCGTTCATAGGGGTGAGTGTGCGTGTGTTATGAGCGCCTGCGTTGTACTGTGTAATTCTAAAAAAACTAGTAGCATGTTTAAATGGATGATAAGTAGAATTACTTATTCTTCGTCATTGTGCCAAGATGAAATATGGCTATCAAAAGTAGATGAAAGGAGTATAATATAAGGCATAACCACCCATAATCCAAAACCAAGAAATAATTAATATCACATCATTGTCATGAACCACCCTAACTAGTACAATACATGCAACCAATAGAATTAAAAATCTTGTGAGTGTACAATTTAAAATAATAATAATTTAGAGGAGAGAACATGCTAATTAATTATATGCATGCATGCACGTCTTATATTACGAAACAACTTTAAAAAGTAGTATTTGTACCTTATATTTTGGAATTGAGGGAGTATAAACATTTTGGATGAGTTTACTCTTATATAGTTAATGAAAAGTTGTTGTTTCTCCAACGACATCTCTCCTATGCTTAAAATGTACTCCCTCCGTATTTTAATGTATGACGTCGTTAATTTTTTTACCAACATTTGACCATTCTTCTTATTTAAAAATTTTATGCAAATATAAAAATATTTATGTCATGCTTAAATAACATTTAATAATAAATCAAGTCACAATAAAATAAATAATAATTACATAAATTTTTTGAAACAAATGAATGGTTAAATATTGGTAAAAAGTCAACAGCATCGTACATTAAAATACGGAGAGACTACTACTTAGGCCATTCACAACTCAATGACTAGGATAGTGTTCATAGCATTAAATAGACTGCCACTTAGGATGAAAAATAATGTGGCAAGTGAATAAATAAGGAAAGAGAAGGAAACCATGTCTTGCATGAGATATAGTTTCTACACAACATCCAAAATATCATGTGAGATAAGTAGCATTAAATTTAAGTATGGATAGTGGTGTTCACATTAGAAAAGTAGTGTCTAGTACTAGTTTCTTGATGATGTGGAGTTTATGAAAACTATGTCTAGTGTTTGGGTTGGGAATGGCCTTAGTAAATGGCCTTAGTAAATAGACACCTTAAATAATCACTAGTGAGTAAATAAGGTAATGTTTAAAACGACAGGAAATTAATACATATGGAACTGGAGCGAATTACTGTCCTTCACATTCGTGCTACTTGTGGAGATTATGGGTACCCCATACCCATACGGCATGGTTATCCGACTAGTCATAGGGGATAACTTATATCTATGGAATATGTAATAGATCATGACTCGGGTATTACGTTTCCTTGTATATTACGGAACGGCCTAAAGTCCTGGTTTGATAATATTGTAAAGTAGATTTAGGAAACCGATACCGTATTGGTTAAGGTTTCTATCTTGTAATCCTGCC